TTTCATCGAATTTTTGACTTGTCCATGTGACTTCTCTACTGACAGATAAGCTTTTTGTTTGTGTTATGTTTCTTTTAAAATGTAAGACGAACAAAAAGTTTTTCTGTTAGTTGGCTAAGCTTCACCAAACAGAAGGTAAAATATAATCAAATGTCTATCCACAAGAGCATGCACTCACACAATTGTATTCCTCGATATTGTTCCGTTTTCTAAAACAGGAAGAAACTGGCTCAACGTTTGCAGGAGGCAGAAGAAGCTGTTGAAGCAGTAAATGCGAAATGTTCTTCTCTTGAAAAGACCAAACACAGACTCCAGAATGAGATTGAAGATCTTATGGTGGACCTGGAGAGGTCAAATGCAGCAGCAGCAGCCTTGGACAAGAAGCAAAGAAACTTTGATAAGGTAACCAAACTTGATTTGGGATCAAGCTCAATTTTTTTTTTTAAGTTATCCTATACTTAAATGAGAAATTATGCTTTTAGGTCCTGGCTGAGTGGAAGCAGAAGTACGAAGAGTCACAGGCTGAGCTAGAGAGCTCTCAGAAGGAAGCCAGATGTCTGAGTACTGAACTTTTTAAGCTGAAGAACTCCTATGAAGAATCTTTGGATCACCTGGAGACCATGAAGAGAGAAAATAAAAATCTCCAAGGTAAATACACCAAAATAACTTTTTATTGGCAAAGAATCCTAATAGATACGTAAATGGAGATACTAGAAAGACAATAAAAGTAGGCTAGTGCAATACGACTTTATGGTGTATTTGGAGTGTGGTGGTGGAAGAAGAATTTATAGTATTTTTCAAGACATTTTTATTTATATCACTGAGGCTGGGGAACATATGGCAATATGTTAAAATGTGTTTGTTTTTTCATCTAGAGGAAATTTCTGATCTCACCGAGCAACTTGGTGAAGGAGGAAAGAGCATTCATGAGTTGGAAAAAATGAGAAAACAGCTGGAGCAAGAAAAAAGTGAAATTCAGTCTGCTCTGGAAGAGGCAGAGGTAAGTTTTCAGATGAAACTTGATTTCTTGACTTTGAAGAAAATAAAAAATATAAAAACAACAGCTGATTAAATTATATTATTACAATTGTTTAAAATGAATAATATTTTTCAAGTACTACAAAGTAATAGATCACAATCTAATGTTTAAAAGGCCTCATTGGAGCACGAGGAGGGTAAGATTCTGCGAGCTCAGCTAGAGTTTAACCAAATTAAGGCTGATATTGAGCGCAAACTAGCTGAGAAGGATGAAGAGATGGAGCAGACCAAACGGAATTTGCAGAGGACCATTGACACTCTGCAAAGCTCCTTGGAGTCAGAAACACGAAGCAGGAATGAGGCCCTCAGAATAAAAAAGAAGATGGAAGGAGATCTGAATGAGATGGAGATCCAGCTTAGTCAGGCAAACCGACAAGCAGCAGAGGCTCAAAAACAACTCAAGAGTGTCCAAGCACATCTGAAAGTAAGATACACTCAGAATCAATACTGTGAATCAGTTAGGCAAAGAATAAAAGCTTTTGAAAGGGTTGAGTTGTTGAAGTGTTTTTCTTAATTAGTTTGCACTCATCTTTCAGGATGCTCAGCTTCAGCTGGATGACTCTCTGAGAACAAATGATGATCTCAAGGAGAACACTGCGATTTTAGAGAGACGCAACAACCTTCTGCAAGCTGAACTGGAGGAGCTGAGAGCAGCTCTTGAGCAAAATGAGAGAGGCCGTAAGCTTGCGGAGCAAGAACTGCTGGATACCAGTGAAAGAGTGCAGTTACTTCACTCCCAGGTAGAGTGAATGGATCGTATTCTTAAGGTTGGGAATGGAAAAAAAATCAATACCCATTCTGGAATTGGATACTTGTTATAAAATAAAAAATGATCGATCCGCTTATTGATTCCAGTGTGTGCATTGTAATGTGGTTTTAAAACATTCAAGAGCAAGAAGATGTGAAAGAGAACTCAATTCGGCACTTGTTTTCTGTGCTGGGCACATCCGGACTATCTTTTGTTCATGGTATTGAGCCGCAACAGAATGTTACAAAAGAACAAAAAAAGTCACAGAATAAATAGGATTGATAGCTAAATGTTCTAAATGTTTGATTTTTTCCCCCCATATTGGAATCAAAACTGGGAATCAATAGGCTGAACCGATATTGGAATCTGAATCGCTAAAATTAAAGTGATACTCAACCCTACTTAATCTTCATTTTGAACAAATCCATTCTTATGGAATGCAAATACCTATTTTTTTCCAGAATACAAGCCTACTGAATCAGAAGAAGAAGCTGGAGGCTGACACATCCCAGCTTCAGAGTGAGGTGGAAGAGGCAGTGCAAGAATGCAGGAATGCTGAAGAGAAAGCCAAGAAGGCCATCACCGATGCTGCCATGATGGCTGAGGAACTGAAGAAGGAGCAGGATACAAGTTCTCACCTGGAGCGTATGAAGAAGAACATGGAGCAGACCATTAAAGATCTGCAGCACCGTCTGGATGAAGCAGAACAAATTGCTATGAAGGGAGGCAAGAAACAAATCCAGAAACTAGAAGCTCGGGTGAGTGACCTATACCTTAAATCCCAACAATATTTTCTGACTGTTTAAAGTGGTATGCTGTAAAAACATTCATACTATGCCAACAGGTGAGGGAGCTGGAGAATGAAGTAGAATCAGAACAGAAGAAGAGCAGCGAGGCAGTGAAAGGAATTCGCAAATATGAGAGACGTATTAAAGAACTGACCTATCAGGTACAACAACAACAACATCTAATTGTATTACTGAATACACCTATAGAAAATGTTACAACAGCAATTTCAAATATTTTTGTCTTACATTGTCTTAAAAGACTGAGGAGGACCGCAAGAATATGGCTCGTCTGCAAGATCTAGTTGACAAGCTTCAGCTAAAGGTCAAAGCTTACAAGAGGGCTGCAGAGGAAGCTGTAAGTATTGGCCTAAATATCACACTTTTGCTGAAAAATCATTCTATTCAGTTCAGGCTCTAATCTCAGAACTGCTAATCCGGGTTCATAGGAGGAACAAGCAAACACAAATCTTAGCAAGTTCCGTAAAATACAGCATGAACTTGATGAAGCAGAAGAAAGAGCTGACATTGCAGAGTCACAAGTCAATAAACTGCGTGCCAAAAGTCGGGATGTTGGTTCTAAGGTCAGTGCTCAAGATAATACATTTTTAGAGACATACTTATGCAATTGAATCATTTACCACAACTGATAATCTCTTCCTTTTATCTTTTTCATACAGAAGGGACATGATGAAGAGTGAACCTCAAATGGAATTAGTTATCCACTCAGTCCAGCTCTTTTTCAGTCACACAGTAGAATAAAGTTGAATTGCATTATATCTGTGTTGCGATTGAGTTGTGCATTGAAATTATATTAAAGTGCCCCTATTATACTATTTTAAAGTTTCCTAACATTGTTTTGGAGTCTCCTACAACAGGTTTACATGCATCAAAGGTCAAAAAACTTTTCTCATATATTTGCACATCACCACATTTTCAATGATTCTCAAATGACTCGTCAGATGAATCAATCTCTCTAATGGTGCTTTCTATTATTTATCTGTGTCGGAGGAAGACAGGCGTTGCCTAGCTAAACACACCAATATTGAATAAAACCTTGTTTCAAACAGGTGTTACCAACGTGGCTAGCATTGCTAACAGAAGATAAACTAAAACATTAAATAAAGTGACAAATTTCAAATGGCGGAGTTTTGATTAGCACCTGTGTTCGGGTACTCAGCCGTGCTACCATAGAAAATGCTTTTCAAGACAGGGAGTGCTTCTCAATTCTTATTTGTACATTTCTTTCCTCGCATCTCAGCTCCACTCCACATGTATAAGTGCAGTGCTGAGTTTGACATTTTTTGGATAAGAAATGCAAAAGATATCATTAAATATCACTGTGTAGCTGCTCCCTGAATCGTCGTGCTTTTTTCCCAGCTCTTCGTTTAAGCAAAAGGTACGCTAAAAACAACGTATTACATCGACGTTAAACCGTACGTTAACCGTGCTAACCATTACCTTTTACTCGACCTAGTTCCATTGCTTAGCAACGGGAAGAAACTCCTGTAACTTCAGTGCCCAACCCGTATCACGACAAGACGTGAAATAATCACGTTGGTCCACTTTGGAAAACGTGTAGATGTCACGGTTTAGTTTAAACTCAAAACCATAAATAGGGCTATACTGCCCTCTTGTGTCAAATTATATTTCTATATTTATTTTTCCAACAAATAAAGCCAAAACTGCAATAAAGCCCGTCCAATACACCCTTGAATTCAACAGATGCAGTGGCTCAGTTGATAAAGCGTTGGGCTTTAATCAAAAAGACCTGAGTTCAATTCCCATACTTGTGTTAAATTGTTGTGATTATATCAAACAAAGTGGCCTAAACAATATTTCTTCAACCCGGTTTTATACCTAGACGCATGACTTAAACGCAGGCAGACACAGCAACAGTTGTAACTTGTAGGCAGGTATATTGATCATTAAATCAGAGTTTTGTTGTCTTGAATGATTCATTCAGTCATTTTCATTCATTCATTGATTTATGTCACTTGTTTGAGTAATCTAAAAAAAAATAAAAAATAACCCCGATTAGGGGGCCCCCTGGTGGTCAGGGGCCGCTTAGTTCGATTATGCCTCGGGCCGGCTCTGATTGGGAAACACCTGACTGGATATTGTGTGACAAATGTAGTTCAGGAAATATGGAAACAGTAGAACATGTATTATTAAAGTGTGAGGCTTATGCGAGAGAAAGATTTTAATTTTTTCAAGTATTAAATGGAAAGTTTTGTCTATCAAAGCATTATTAGGGAATGGCCCAAAGCAATTTAAAATATATTATTATTTCATTTTTTAAAAGATACTCATTTAATTAACAGGATTTAGGTCATTACTACCATAACGTTATCCACACTCCAATCCAGTAACCAGCCTCACTGCAAACAACATGCCATCAACAACAACAATAAATAAATATGCACCCATGTTGCTTGACTTTTTATTTATTCATGATTAAATATCCACATCACTAGTTAACAATTAATCACAATTATTTCTTTCATACCAAAAAACAAAACAAACAAACAAAAAACATCTTAAATAAGAGGGGAGACAGTAAATCAAGTTTAGGACCATGTCTGTAGTCCATGATGTAAGCATGCTCTTTTGCTGTGTTCAATGTTTAGTAGTAGTACACACACATTGTGAGTCCTAACAGACACACTAGGGGGCTCTTTTGCTGCTTAACTTTGGAGTGCTCTATCTACTTTTAAACATGCTGATTAGCCTACCAGTGACAGCTAGTCTCATACAGATGTGCAGCATGGATAACAAACATTCAAGGTCTATGTGTCAGGTGCAGTTTTGTGGGAGGAATCATTGTTCCTGTGGTTACTGATTAGCTCTAACCTATCACCCCACCTTTTGCATCCAGTCTCAGGCGACCGAAGTCATTACCAGAATTCTGTGCATTATCTATAGCCTACAGGAGGACATCCTCAGAGACCTTTGAGTTTTTCGGTCCTCAGTCAAAATCACACTCCTCCCCCTTTTATTGATTACACTGTATTAGGCTATGTGACCTGTGATGACAAAGAGAAAAAGTTACACATATAATAAATATTCTTTGCTTCCTGAATACATAATATTTTAAAAACATTCTTGTTTGCCAGCCCTTTTTTAAAGAAAAAAGGCAGTCTCACTTAACAATAAAATACTATCTGGAGAAATATTCATAGATGCAAAATCTTCACTTTGCTTCTCTATACAACCCAATCAAGAAGTGTTTTCCCTATAAAGTGTGAAACGTGTATTTACAAAACTGCTTTGAGCGGACTGGTGCGGGGGACGTGAGAAGTGTACTAACACAGTGAGAGTGTTCATTCATTATGGAAAGGACAAAATAGAGCTGTCTGAAGGCATGAAAGGTTATGATCACTGTATCAAGAGTACAACACTGAAGTTTACTGGCACAGCCCCTGGAAAGTACGCACTAATCACAAAAGGAACTACAGACAGGACTGTTTGGCCAAGCGCAACTGCTCTACGCCAAGAACACTGGCTCACACTTGTACAAACTGTATTTACAGAATGCTAAACGAGACACAGGTCACAGGTACATGTTATGGATTTCTGAGTAACTAGGGCTCTTTTCATGGGACACAGTTTAGAAAGATGTGCTCAGTCAATCATATCGCTCTCCTTGTTGTATAAAACACCCATCATAAAGTGCATTTAAAATGCTCGTCATCTAATTGTTTAATTTTTAAGATATTTGCATAATTTAATACTTCCTGGTCTCGGTTGTTCAGTTTTAAATGGGACTTTCTTTGATGTTACAACATTATCACCATACATTATCTGTCATGACACCACAGTAAAATACCAGGAAAAAATTTCACAACATTTACTGTAGGCAATCAAACCCTGTATACAAACATAAGCTTTTAACCAACAACAGCAACTTTTTTTTTTTTTGCAGGCATTGTGGAGCCAAAGATATCTAGAGTAATATTACTACCAGTAAAGTGCCCACAAATTCACTGTTAACAGTGTCACTAGTCATGAGCTTCAAAAAAAGCAGCCCTACAATAGTAGGTTTAGAGAGTTTAAAACTATGATATTCAACTACTTTGTGAATAATACATCACTTGGTAAAAAACAAAATGCATTTCCTAGTATGTTCGATTAAATAGTCATTTCTAAACAACAATTTATCAATTGCCATTGAATAAATAATAGGGAAATGCACTGGATTGCAATGCTCAGTTAATGTTAATGTGCCCTCCCACATGCCAGTTTATATGTTCAGTGCAAAAGTCTTCTACTTTTTGAACTTGGAAGAACGATACTTAATTCAAGGTGAGGGATGATTTGGACCTTTGAGCAAATAATCATGACCTGTGTACAGAGTGTAAACATATCCATTCTAACTTTCTTTATCCATCTATATTCCTTCCATCCTGTCTGTTTAGCTTGTGTGCCACTGCCTTTTCCTCTTCCTGTATCGTTTATGTGTGTCATGTGTCATATTAGTTCACAAGATGCTTTGAGGGAATTGGAAAGTGGAAGATGTAATCAGATGGTTAGACATCATAATGATACAGCTCATAGTTACAGTAATTTACGATTAACACGATACAGCAAACTCATTGAAGATGTAAATATGCTATTGTTTGAACAGCCTATACGTTTCAAATGATTAAGTGCTCATTTAAATACTAGGGGAGACCAGGGTTTAGAATTTGTGTGAGGTGGACAAGGTCAGAGGAGCAAAGGAAGCAGATGGATGGATGGCGGCTGGTTCGTCCCTTTTGACTGGGATTAAAGACAGCCCCACATACTAACAATACAGGGAGCTTAACTGTCATAATACGATGTAATAAGCTACATCTCTAGTGAGTTCTGGGGTTTCCATTGGAGAACATATAATGCCAGACAGAAACGAGGGTATTGCATTTCAATTTAGGTCTGTCTAAGGGACAACACAGGCTTGTAGGAAAGAAACTCGGTGTTGACGGGCTAAATGCTGTGGTTTCAACAAAGATGACCTATGCGGCTGGACAACCATCCAACCATCTCCAATCATCTGGAGACTTCATCTCAAAACTAGCCTCAAACCAATCCCTGCGTTCGAACAGCAGCACTGTAAATTAAGTCATTCCCAAAACATGATCTCATAAGTGGTTTCCCAGCAAGGAATAAACAAAGAAAACTGAAAACAAGAGAAGAAGCTAATGAGAAGAATGGTTTAAAAGGGACAAGCTGTGTTGAAATTTCCCCCTTCTCCTGCTGGTTTACACACATCTCATAGCTGAGTGAATGGGATAAGCTGGGTTGAGTGTGAGGACATGGCGGACCCCAGAGAAACACTGAGAGAGGTGCTGCGATGTGGGTGGGGGTGGCTGCCACTCAGGGAGGACCAGGAGATGATTTTAGCGTCGTGGTCCGTGCGAGCTCGTGCGTTCTCGCGGAAGTTCAGCTTGTAGGGCTCAGTCTGGAGGCAAAAAAATTGAAAAGCTATATTAAAAAGATAAAAAACTAAATTTTATAGATATTGGCAGGGCAAAAACACCCACTAATAGCTGGGCACAGTTTCGTACGTCGTAATACATCTGTCAACCTCAAAATCTTTTCAAAAGATTTTCCTCCCAAAACTAATCTGTTCCTTGTGCGTTACTCAGAATTGAACTGAGAATGTCTTTTAAATTTCAGTTTAGTTCTTGAATTTGAATTTGGGTAAGAAAACAGTATTCGCTAATAGAATTGAAATCCTTGTTTGAATTTGCTGAGTCTTTTTATTTTAAAGCCCTTATAATCTGACAGAACATTAAATAGATATATTTTGTAATTTGTGGAAAAAAAATGTACACCAGGTTTTAAGATGTCTTCATTTGAATATATGAATGCATTTCCTGTGAAGTTCTTGAAATGTAATTTAGTAAATTCTTCGTCCTGTCATTCCAAATAAAATTCCAGTTCAAATTCCTGTGTGGTGTGGCCAAGTCAATTCAAATTCCAACTCAGGAATTGAAAGGGAGACAATTCTTATATCCACAATTTAATATGTATTTCCATGTTTGTCCATAAGGTATCATATAAGGGCTGAATCTGTCAATTTTGCACTTACTTGTCCCAGGGATGCGCTTGTCCAGGCCTTGGGAGTCCCGGGGCCCTTCTCCCAAAGAAGGTACAGGAGTAGGAGAATTCTCTTTCAGCCCATTCTCTTTTGCCCCATTTCCTGCCTGCAAGGATGAGGAGACGGCCGGGGGAGATGGACTTCCCTCAGATTTCTGCTGAACCCCATCAGCCTGGAAACACATTGCAAATGCAAGGTCAAACAATAGAAAGAAGACAAAGATGCATTGATTGGTGTGTGCAAGAATGTAAGGAGATTAATATGATATGAAACACAAATACATATATGAAACATAAAAACCATTGTGTTAACCCTTAACAGCTGTGTTAAGAGTGAATCAGTTTGACAATCCTTTATATACTTTTTGCGCTGAACAAGTACACAAGATACACAGCAGTTCAAACATTTAGGGTAGGTATGATTTTTCCCCCATGTTTTTGAAAAAGGTCTCATGCATTCATTTGATCAAAAATCCAGTAAACAGTAATATTCTCTGCTGAAAAATCCAGCATAAACCAGCATAATTTTCATGCTGGTCCAGGCTGGTTTATGCGGTTTTGTGCTGGTTTAGAGCTGGTTAGTGCTGGTTTAGCTGGTGGACCAGCATTGTCATTCAACATTTCAAAGGATAAAGAGATTCGTCACCTGTTTCAAAGGATCTGTAAACAAATCCGTTGAAAATAGTTGAAAAGAGCTTGCGAAACAAAAACATTTAGAGATATGAAAACAGAAAATTGCTAATTAAGGGTGTAATAATAAGCAGTTTGCTCAATAATATGGGCAATAGTGATAACATGCACTTTCATCAATTGCTAAAAGATAATTCATTCGACCAAAGTCAAGGGGCAAGTGTCCAAAGGGGCAAGTGTCCTTTGACTAATTGGTCATCACTTGTAGAGTGAATACATTTTATTTCACAAACTGCTACACTGCCTCAGTGTTCCCTTTCAGTCAAGATTGCCAGACGTATTTTTTAGAACAAGCCAATGCACATTGGCGAGAAAAGCATCTCACTCTCCGCCCTGCGGCACGATTATAAATACGGAAGTAGATGCACACACCATTTGCACGCACCATTGTCAGAGCTCAGGTTCATGTTCAGGTCTTCTGAAGAGTGTTGTTATACAACAAGCGAGTGTGTTGTGCTTCTTCTGTAAGTCTCTCCTGACGTCGGTGTTTACAGCGTGAGAGCAGTGGTGATCGCAAGCTACCAAGCTCTCAACTGCTGTTGTCACAGCAACCAAATTTCTGTTTGTGTTTGTCTCACAGCCGTTGGAGGGCGAAGAAAGTGAGTGCTTCACTGATACATGCTGCACCATCCCTGTATCAGTGTTGCCGCGGTCATTCCCCTGTGTGAGATTTTTTAACTTCCTGAAAGGGCAACATGGGTGCATTTGCATCTTTTTCAAGATGTCATTCCGCCCATGCATTTTTGGATGCGGTCGTTCCCGGTCTCTTTGACGGTCACAATTGTTGCATCACGTGTTTGGGCTTTTAGCACGCTGAAACAGCTTTTGTGGACAGTTCAAGTTTCCATTGTTGAGATCGAGACTCGTCTTCGTCCGCGAAGCGCCCTGACCTCGGGTGCCGCATGAGATGGGTGAATAGTGCCCGGTAACCATTCCCTGTGGCCTCCTCACTCCTCCCTTTCACCGCAGTCGTGTGAGTCCCACGTGGTGTGTGCTGGTAATGGGTGGGTCAGTCGTTTCACCTGGGGCTCCCCCAGAGGACAGGACGCCGATTGCAGCATCAGAAGGTGAGTTGGCCTCTGGAGATAATGACTCGACTGTGTTGTCTTCCTCTGGAAGCATATATAGCGTTGTCCGAGCCGGATCCGGAATTGTCAGCTATGCTGAAGACCTGCTCAGTCTCAGTTGGATGATTGGTATCTCAGGGTGGGCCATGCTGGTTCTCTTCTTTCTTGAAGTGCATGGACCGCTTACTAGGTCGTTGACGGCACTTTTTACTGGAAAAAGTAAAAAAAAAAGTCCCTGGGAATCTGATCGTCAGGTTCCTGAGGAGAGCAAGGAGATTCAATTTTGGTTAATTTCAGTTGAGTTCCCCTTGTCCGAACCCTGTTGAGTTCCTCCACACCCCCTCGGCATTGGACGTGGCGGAGCGTCCGGTACTAGGCCTATCACCCGTAAGCAGTGTGGAACCTGTGTTAGGCTGGGTCCATATGTTGCAATCCCTACGGTGATCCCATATGTAAATTCTTCCATGGTACGGCTCCCTACGGCGAGCCTGTGTCTTTCCCTTGGCAGAGTTCTTCTGCCGTCACTGTTCGGTGTTGTCTCCTCCATCTTAGGCTAGAGCCACCCCAGTGACATTCCATATGTTGTACTGCCACAGACTACTGTGTGTATTCTCCACATGTTACCTCCCTTCGGGTAGGATGTGGCTTGATGCATATCTTGCAAGCCAATGTGCATTGGCTCGTTCTAAAATATCTGAAGACAATAGGCTCCCTAGCATGATCCCATTTCAGTCGACGTCGGCTACGTCCTCCGTTCCCTCCTTCAGGCATATGCAACCAGGACGTTCGTTTAACATGGGACCATATGAAAACTGAGCAGTGATAGTTTAACATTGATGATTTTGCTCTGTCAACAAACATGTAACCTACATCATGTGTTTTTCTTCATAAAATAATTTGTTAAAGTTAATTGGATAATCGCCTTGGTCTTTATTTAACTATGAACACTCACAAAGAAATGTGATATGCAATACATTCACAAGTTATGTTGTGGTTTTGCTGGGATCATACCAGCACCCAGAATATATCATATGCTGGTCCACCAGCACAGCAGCATTCCAAGCAGGTCCCAGCATCCAAAACATACCTCAAGCTGGTCCACCAGCACACCCGCTTCCCATGATGGGAACCAGCAAATCATCAACCAGTATCCTATGCTGGGAACTAGCAAACAGCATCCCATGCTGGTCCCAGCATGCAAAATACACCTTATGCTGGTGTCCAGCACTGCTGGATTTTTCAACATAAGCCAAAACATCATGACCAGTCACGGGTGAAGTGAATATCATTGATCATCTCCTAACAATGCCACATATTGAGGTCTTTAAAACAGTAATTCACTAGGCAATATCAAACAACATGCACACAGACTAAATGAGTGGTACTCAGCCATGTGAAGTGCTATTAACCTGACCACGCTTCCATATGCTGAGGGGGTTGAACCTCTTTACAAACTGTCTTGCTTATATTCTCTTTTCCATGTAGACAAGGAATTATAAATTGGTTGTTATGCTCACCTTTTTAGTGGGCATATTTAATGTGGTCTGTAAAGTATTATATTACCCTGCATGTGTTTGTGGTGCAAATTGGACCACATCACATGCATATGGCATTGGTGTGCAGTGCATTAAAAAAAATCTTCTGGTTTTACTAATTGTTAATTGAAGGTAGTTACTTTACTTGCATTTGAAAGAACCCCATGAAAATATAATATCAATAATGAAAGAGGGATGCACATTCCTAATATGTTATATCCTCTATTATTTATGACCACCTTTACATTGTTACTTCCTGGTTCATGGCCTACATTGTCCAGTGATCCCACTTTGGCCTTGGCATTGACATTCACCTTATGGGATTCAATCTTCACATCACCACCACCTGAGAGAGATCAATCATCATTCACATGGCTATTTATTACATGTACTCACAATGAGATTGCATTCACAGTAATAGGCAACATTAAAATCGATCCATCCCATACCTGGCTTGTGCTTCATGTTGTCCTTGGATCCACATTTTGCGGTCACTTTGCTCAAGTCAACCTTTTTATTTAAAATCTGAACCTGGAGACCATGAGTAAAGAGTTGCTAGTGTGATTGAAGTGTCATTTGTTTCTTATGATGGCTGTCTTTAGAGGAAAGTCAATCTAACTGTAAACTGATGTGGTTATATGTGGCTCATCACATGCTTGTACTTCTATGATCAACACATTGTTATGAAATGAGTTAGCACAGTTTTATAAAAGAGAGGTGACACTGTACACTTACATTTCCTCCACCAGGTACATGCTTGATATTGTCCTTGGAGCCGCATCGGGAGGTCACATGGCTGAAGTCCAGCTTTTTGTGGACTATCTGAACCTGAACATAGCACAATAGCAGAGGACACATGGTCATAGATTATTCTGTAACACATGCAAAACAGATCGACACAATGAAACTAAGAAGGCTATGAGTGTGTTAAAAAATATTGTACTTTTGCAAATCAAAAGTAAAAAGTAGCACGACGACACTAAAAATCAAAGCTACTCATTTATTTGCACAAAACAGTTATTTTCCCTTTATTGTATTTGAGGATGTCAGCTAATTCCTGAACTTTGTATGTGGCCGCCCTCTGGTAGACTCAAATAAATGTTCATTGTCCACTTTGCTGTTTGGTGCAGTATTTGTTTGTGTGACTCATATATTTGTTTGGACAGAGTAATAGCAGGCCCGGAACACTTTGTCTGACTCAGAGTGTGTTTTTCATAGCCTAAAGCTCACTTTATAGCGTTAATCTCAGGTATTGCTTAAAAACTCGAGGGACTGCTGTCTAAATATATTTAATTTGACCTCTAGTAACAGACCACTCCAGGAAAAGCAAATGTGATTTGGAGTTAACTGCATAGCTCAAAGGCTGTGCGGAAAACTGATACATTTGCTGAAAACAAAAAAACATGACCATGTTGATTCTTTGAGCAGCAAAGAAACACCATTAGCACTAAGCCTATTTAGTAATTAACATGCAAAATGCTGCTAAATAATTTGCATGGAACTGCAAACATGACAGAGTAACAGTTATAAAAAGGCACAATTTCAAAATCTGGCATTGTGAAACAACAGAAGGCTGTAGGTGATCTTGGCGGCTAAAAACACATTTTGTAATACACAGAATATTTGAATGTAAGGAAACAAGTTTTTTTTAACCCCTAAACCGTCATCCCCCCCAACCCCTTTTTTTTTTTTTTTTTTTTTGCATAGGCATGAAAATTCACTATCCAAAAAGTTCTAACTATGCTTTGGGATGTAGACATAAGGTTGGTCTTGTTTTAATAACCAGTCAATAATATAATATTAAGCAATATCATGTAAAACAGTTATATAATATTTTATCATCTTTTTTGAGACATTTTTGTTCTATTTTCTCTAAGTATTTTTTTAAGAAGTTCATGGAAATGAATCATCCCATTTTTTTTCATTTCATACGTTCTCCAAGAATAGCCACAGCCTCCTTTGCGAACAGTTGTAAGAAAGGTGAGATAAATAGCACATATTAAATGTGCAGTGTAAACACATTTTCCCCCTTAAAAGCAAAAGCAAGAGTGCAAATAATCCAAAGTAATAAATTAATGGGACTACAAAGTGTTGATACAATTGCTGAGTCTGTACAACATGCAGTTATGCTCTTTATGGACGTGGTTACTGAACAAAAACACTATGAAACGTGGGGTGGTGATGGCACAGTGGATAAGACACATGCTTTCGGTGTGAGAGACCTGGGTTCAAATCCACTGCGAGACACCAATGTGTCCCTGAGCAAGACACTTAACCCCTAGTTGCTCCAGAGGTGTGTGGTCTCTGACATATATAGCAATTGAATAAATGTAAATTGGTAACAATGGTAAGCAGACTCGACAAATATTCCACAAAGAGTGGCACAATGTTCATTGGTGAACTAATGAGAGACGGAATGGTGTGGTGTTAAATCCACAGACATACGAAGCTGCATTGCTCTAATGAAACATCAAATTTTTCTAACAAGTGTACGTGGACAATTTTATCTACAACAACTGTGATCACAGGTTCATTCAGAAAACCATTTTACATTATTTATCATAATTTCAGTTCACAAATTGTCAGTCTTTAAGTGTTTAGTGTTTCTGTGTACACTCATAAAAATGTGGGTTTGTTAAACCAGTTTCTAGAGGGTTTTTTGGAAAGACAGCGAGAGCAAGAGCAGGAAACAAGAGTGATACTGAGGCAGCGAGTCAGGGAGATGTCATTGGGAGGGACTCACTTTGCCCTGGCTGGTCTTTGGCAGAGCATCGGTCTTGCCCTGGGCTGCAGAGACCTGAAGAGACAAGCACCCCTTTAGTCAGTCCAGTGCAGGGAAGAGGTACAGAAAGCCCAGGGTCGCAGGGTCGGAGGAATAGCATACTGACTCACTCATTGTGATACATCCTAAGGTTACTTTTGAACCTGGAAGAATCGCCTGACAGTTTGTGTCTAATGAATTGTGCAGGGGATAGTGTATTTAACTGTGTGTCTGTTCAATTAACTATGAAGAAGATCTATGGCATCATTGAAACTTAAAGGGATAGTTCACCCAAACATTTTTTCCCCTCACTTTGTTCCAAACCTGTACGAATTTTTACTATGGAACAAGAAAAAAATATATTTTGTGTTGTCTGGTGTCCATACAATGAAAGTCAATTGGGTACAATGCTGTTTTGGAATGGCAAAAACATTATTCAAAATATTTTCTTTTGTGTTGCACAGAAGACATAAAGTGAATAAATGGGGTGAACTATGCATTTAAATATTAATGGAAGCATAAATCCAAAAAGCAAACATAATTAATGAAGGTTTTACAAGAAGACGTTTTAATTTAAATGATGTATTGTGGCCTTGACAGTCACCGTCTGAAATCCAAATGCATTGGCTTTACTAGATCCTTGGTAAGATAAGAGAAAATCCTTTATGGAGTCCTGTTATATGGTATTTTTTATTTCAAAGAGATGGGGTAAGATAGTTGGCTGTGAGATGGCTATAGAAAACAGACACATTCATTCTATAAATTTGGTAAGAAAATCTCAGTGTACAATGAAAAATTTAAGGCTTTGTTTTCCATGGTGGACGTTAATCACAAAAAATTGTTGGATCCATGGATCCATGAGCTCAGTCAAAACTGTCTGTATCTTAAAGTTAAGGATCAATCAGATGAATAATGGAATTTACTTTGAGCAGCAGCGATATGAGACATACGAATGAGAAACAACTATTGCAGAATTTGAGATTTCTTAACGTGTTTAATAGCAGCAATAGAGCAGCACAAGAGCTTATGATCATGTGTTGCCAAATAATGCATCAAATTGATTTAAAATCTGTAAAATGTGTGTCTCTAAAGCCTAGATTATTTCATTCCTTGAACACATGCACATTCTCATGGTTCTGTCCTGACCAATCAACTCACCTTGCCTCCTCCAGGCTGGTACTTCATGTTATCGGTGGAGCCGATCTTGGAGCGCACGTTTTTTAGATCCGGCAGTGGTGCGTTGGTGATCCGGGTGTTTCGAGGGGCTCGAGGCACAGGGGGCTTCCTCTCAAGGGGAGTCTGCTTGGGCACGGGGGGTTTGGTGATGCGGGACGGTCGAGGGGTCGGGGTTCCATTGGTGGCTACTGTGCTGGTGGCAGAGGTTGGTGTGCGAGTTGTCCTTGAAGTTGTTTTAACTGTGAAAACATGAAGCAAATAGCACTGCAGTAGAAAACACCACAGGAGGTTGCAGGAGAGGTCACAGACAGATCAATCCTGTGGTCATTGACCTCATGAATGTTTCTTCTTCCTAAGCCACTACAAAAGTGGCAAGCCCTCATCTGAGTGACAAGGTTTTCTGCTGTTGTGTGCAAAGAGATGAAGAGAGGAGTTGAAGGCTCTATCAGTGTGATGGTTTGAGACAAGCCTAGTTGAATAAGTCTATCCCTGACTATGTCAGCATCTTCAGATTTGATGACTAACAACTGCACTAGTCAGTGTGTATTAGCTCAGAACTGCTGTGTTTTCAGGAAACAGTAGAGGTAAACTTCTCACCCTGCTCTTTAAGCCTCCATCAAAGCAGCGTTTAGTAAAAGCTACAGACAGGTAAGCACCTTTATTTGCACATAAGCACCTGACCACTGTAAAGATGATCTCACCACTTTTGAATCTCTGTATTGTTGGATTGTCTCTGTTTACTTGCTCAGGATATATTTTATCAACATTATTATATTTCATTGGTTGTTATTCAAGTCTCTGCTAACTGAAATGTTTGCCTTAATATCTTGATGGCTTGTTTGTTCTACATTGGGAGAACAAACATGTTAATCACACTTTAAATTACATCCAGTCTCAAAGCCTAAGATGGTTTAACGATTTATATTGCACCTAAAAATGGTAAGGCCGTTCGGAAATCACAAGTTCCAATCTTACTGGCAGCCCTAAAGCAACTTCTGGGAGTTAAAATGTCTTTTTTTCCAGTAATAAACAAACACTGTTAAGTTTTTTTGATTGATACTATGAAGCAGCTTTGATACAATCTGTATTGCGAAAAGTGCTATATAAATATATTTGACTTGACTTAAAATGGACAAGAGTTAGAATTTATAGCTATATTTTTTTACAAGGTACAACACTGCAAGAATAAGCATAGAAATAACTAATCTGACACAATCTTATTACTGTATGTAGCGAATATCATTGCCAGGTATTTTGACATTTCATGTAATTAAATTTGTTATGTCTAATTTACTATACAACAAAGTCTATCACTATTGTACCAAAATATTTCTCGATTAAAATACAAGATAAAAGGTAAGAAAACTACATCATTCTCACCTGGTGCCTTTTTCACCTCTCCTGCTTGGTTTTCAGTCTTTGTAGCTATATAAACACACAATCAAATTAAATTATGTAAATTTAAAAGTCATTATGCCTCACTTAACCTTAAACTGAGATCCTATATACTACACCTTTGTCATGGTAGTGCCATATATATATATATATATATATATATATATATATATATGTTTATTGTCCTTTTCTCATTTTATAACCACAGAACAAAACATGCTTATACACTTTCACATATACATGTTTAATTTACACTTCTTAAAGGATGAAATGCATTAAAAAGTAAAAAAAAAAAAAAAAAAAATGAATTTGTTACAAATGGTGTTTACAAAGTCTTTTGCTGTAAGGTCTACATTTCCAGTTTATATGATATTTATGCATGGCTTTTACAGCTGATCAAAGTCTTTCCTCTTGCACTTAGCAATATAAGTTGGCCTTTCCAGTCAGATACAGTTTGATATCTCCTTTATCCACATTTTCATGGATGGAGCACCCATACCCTTCCAGCATAAAGCAATAGCTTATCTGGGTTAAAGCAGACCAAAGTCTACAAGTTTAATAGGTCTTGATGTTTGTATAAAGTCCATTGGATATATTCCAAGAAGTTTTACATTTAAAGAAACAACTCACCGGAGAAGCGTCGGGCAGAGGTGGAGCTTGTGCCATTTTTAGAGTTGGTAGCAGATGCAGCTTTAGCCTTTGGCACTGGAGGGCGACGCTGGGCTGGTGCGCCAGTTTCAGAAGACTGATGGAAACAATACGATTTCAGAAAGCCGAATGACCAGGGATGAGTTGACGTCAAGACAAGAGGTTGATTAGATGAGTTACATACACAGTGGCTTACGGGTGGTGCTTGAGGGTGATTGTCCAATTAAGGCAGAGTTTGACTTGAAATCTTGATAAAAGATGTTTCATCACATAACCCTGATGAAAGATCAGAGCATGATCTTGGTCAACCTACAAGCAAATTTTGGTATAGTGGGTGTTGGTGTGGATTTTTGATGCTATACGTGATCGTAATGACTTTGTAGTTTGCTAGTAGTCAATTAAAGGGATACTTCATCCAAAAAATACAATTCTGTCATCATTTAGTCACTCTCAAGTTCCAAGTTCCAAACCTGTTTGAATTTCTGTGTTCTGCTGAAGAATTTTGGTAAACAATACGACGGAAGTCAATGGCCATCAGCTGTTTGGTTACCAATTCTTCAAAATATCTTATTTTGTGTTCAGCAGAAGAAAGAAATCGACACAGGTTTGGAACAACTTGAGGGTAAGTAAATGATGACAGAATTTTTATTTTTTGGTGAACTATCCCTTAAACTTACATGTATAAATTGTTTCAATATTAAGATGAATAAAAGAATCTAATCTCTTTACAAAATAATAATAATAATAATAATAAATCCCCTAACTGAAAAATCACCCATAAACACAAGCAGAGAAGAGATGACACTCAATAAAAAGGTGAAAATAAACAATAGATTAAAGGCAGAGTAGGCGATTTGTTCCAGAATTTTCTTTTGTTATTCTGGTTGAAAGTCTCTTCACATCCTGACAGCAATCAATAAGGTCTAAATGTATTTATATGTATATATATATCTTCTTCTGTGGAAGGCGTAGGACCATAAAAAGTTCATCCAATCATTGCAATGGTACGATGTCCTACGTCAGTATTTTCATCACACATCTTCAACGGTTTTAATGCTAGGCAGAGTTAGGCTTGCTATTGCTAGCTGCTCCAAAAATTGCCTACCCTACCTTTAATTATATTCCACAAGCTCCATGCAAAAAAGTAGGAGAAAAAGCAGTTTAGAACCTCATCACAATAGAGAAGCATATAATTAGACCTTTTCTGATATCTGTCCGTCCTAGGCGAATTTACTGTAATTGAAGGAACATAACTGGACCTTATTTTATCAGTGGTCTAAAACATGCCTCTTTTCTTGTGATTTTGCTGGTGATTGAAATTTTGAGTTGACAATGACACAAACGGAGAGATGGGCACTGGAGAAAGTCACAAAAGTCTCCCCTGTGGATTGTTGGCTGTGTGCCAAACCACAGATGGGGGAAATGGTGTTAACTCACCTTGGCCTTAGTCTCAAGAGTAGACGTGGTGGTGGGGGTTTTCTTGGTACCAGTAGTGGGGGTTGTTGCCTTGGGTATAGGGCTTTTTTTACTGGCAGAGTTGGGAGAGGTGCGTTTGGTGGCACCAGCACTGTCTCCAGTGGACAGCGAGTTTGGTCTTGCTGAGCTTTGTTTGGTTGACCCAACTGAAGGCTATATGCATGTATTTGCAAAAAGCACAAAAGAAAAACTAGATGCAAAAGTGGCAGCGTATAAAATAAAAGTAGTCAACCATTATGAATTATTAATCCTTATTAAGATGGAAAAATGCGAGCAAACCCCTCTTCTCAAAGGTGACAGTTTAAATCAAAGTCAGAGTAGCATATCTGATGAATGAAATCCCTCTGTTTTTCAGACTTACCTTGGTCTTACTGTCCAGGCTGGTCACCTCCTTGCTCCCATTTGCTGTCGGAGACTTAGCAGGTCCTTTAGCAGCGGTCATGTTCTTCTCAGCTTTGGCTGTCTTGTCAACTTTTTCCCTGTTGTCTTTCTTCTCCTCTTTCTCCTTGTTTGTCTTCTCGGGTTTGTCTACTTTCTCCTTTTTCTCAGCTTTATTATCCTGTTTCTCCTCTTTCTCGGCTTTCTTCTCATCTTTGATGATCTGCTCAATCTTCTGAGTCTTATCCACACTGTCTGTTTTCTTTGTATTCTCATCTTTCTTGTTCAGATGATCGATCTTCTCCATCTTCTCCGGCTTGTCTTGCTTCTCAATTATGTTGATGCTTTCCATCTTTGAAGCAGTTTGCACATTCTCCATTTTCTCCTTGGTAGTCTTATCTTCTTTTACTTAAGAAAAAGACAAATGTGAAATATCCATATTTAATCAAGCAAATGTGTATTTGCAATTATTATCATTTTGAGCTTTAGCTTGTTTTAATATATTTATGGGGACATAAATTAACAGTAAGCTGCACTTGATGCTTTAAGTCTTAGTACATTCTGACAATAAGAATGAGAGTAGATGAGCATGAGAGGTCATGAAAAAGGGCACAGAAAGTGCCTTGAGCGGACAGACAGAAAAGCACATTGTCAGCCTGGATGCCTTATGTAACTTGGCACCATTCTCTTCACAAAGTGAAAAATCAATGGCCAACGGAGGACCAAAACACCCCCCCCCCCCCCAAAAAAAAAAGAGAGAGAGAGAGAGAGAGAGAGAGAGAAAGAGGAAAAGAAATAAAGCAAGTGCTTTGCTCCATAGACAGGATGGCAAATACTTATTGAATACTCATATTCGTTTCACAGCCATCTAATACTGTTAAATTCTAGCAATATTTATGTAAAGTATACTTTTATTATATTTTTATACCGTGACTTTACTATTATTTTATGTTACATAGATACACAAAAGACATATATCTGTTGATTAAATGGAATTTTATATGTCTCTTTTGTACCAGACTATTCTGACCTCTATAGCAGCTGATTTTCAAATTAAAGCTAGGTTTTCTCTATTACATTTTTAATAATGTTCTTGAATAATATAATGCTGATAATTCTTAAGGGGTCATTAATTAGAAAATTAGAAATTTGTGATTAGCTAATAATAGTTAATAATAGAAAAGTTATGAACATTTGGAACAGAGGGTACCTCAAATGAAAAACCAGTCAAGTCAATTGTTCTAGTTTTTGGATGTTGTAATCCCAATATATTACATATTCTGCCTTTAAGTGTCTTAAAATATAGAAGATGCATACACAACAAGCTGAAAACTGTTAGACTAACTGAGATCAGAACTGTGCAAAATAAAATACAAGACACCATTCTGGCTCAAAATTAAATCCACATTGAAGAGTTAGCTAAATAACATAACTCCTAATCCTCTCTTAAAATAATCTAATAATATAGTGCTTAATATAATTTTTCAATGAAACCATCTATAAAAGACCATGTTTGCAACAAAAACAAAACACACTACTGCTCAAAAGTCTGTATTTAGTAAGAGTTTTAAAAAAAATGAATTTCATTCAGCAAGGACACATTAAATTGATCAAAAGAACTGGTAAAGACTATCACTTCTACATTGTTACAAAATATTTCCATTTCAAATGTTGTTCTTTTGAAAGTTCTATTCATCAAAGAATCCAGAAAAAAATTATCAGCGTATCCTTAAACATTAAGCTGCACAAATGTTTTCAACATTAATAATAATACGAAACGTTTATCAGTATATCAGAATGATTTCTGAAGGACCATGTGACACTGAAAACTGGAGTAGTGATGCTGAAAATTCAGCTTTGCAAAACAAATAGACTAAATTGTTAATTATATAAAAAATACAAAATAGTTATTTTAATTGCTATCTACTCAAAACTTTTGAATTGCAGTGTGTGTTCAGCTCTGTCACAGATACTATGTAAAGAAAAAACATCAGATTATGATACATCTGTTTATGCGTTAGGAGAGATCACAAACACACTGGATTGTAGACCATTGCAGACAATGAAACCGGCACCATTGATATAAGAGCAGCTGATCTCACCTACCATTACAAACACCTTTAGGCTGAATATCACGGGATGAAACAGAATTCCCACTTTCCGACAGCTGTTGCGGTAACTGTATACTGCCAGAACTCTGTGACACACCAGCAGGCTGTTCTTTTATTCTAGTAGGGTCTGATGAGATACTCGTCGTGGATGGTAGAACCCTCTGTTTGTCGTCTACGGTGAAGTATTTGACGGCGGTCTGTGGTGGCGGCACATCCTTGCCTGGATATTTATCAGGTAGCGGGAGGCTAGCGGGCACTGTCAGGTGGGTACTGCCTGACATTGTGCGCTGGACCACACGGTTCTGTTGCATGGGGGGTGATATGGGTGGGCACGTCTCCGTTTTGCCCTCAACCGTGCCCTCCATATAGTTGTCATTCACCACGCCGATCACGCAATAATTCGGCGTCAGGCCTGTTTTCGAGACGCCGCGGGGCGAATCCCAATCACTGTCTGAAGACGACATGATGGCCCTCGGCGGTGAAGGTCTAGATGTCACCCCGTTGGTGGAAAGGGCTTTCCCTGGAGACAGAGGTGATGGAGAGGAAGAGAGACTTGTGGGGCTTTCTGCTGTACTGCCCAAATTCTTCCCGTCCATGCTGCATGGGTGACTGGTTGCCCATTGGTCCACCTTCTGGCTGAGTGCTGTCGATTTGGAAAGGTCCTGCTTGTCGTCCTCTAAAATTCTGGAGGATTGCAGACTGCCTGGCTGCCCCTGCTGCCAGTTCCAGCCCTGGGCAGCTGTTGAGGATGCCAAGCTTGGCATGGAGGGTGGCACTGAGCACAGATCTCTGCACTCTGAGCGCTGGGTTGACATCCTTACCTCTCTAGATATATTTTCCCTGTATCAAAGTGTCTATCCGTCAGTAAATGGCAGTGATTGAGATGAGTTAGTCTATAGCGGCGGTCTCTAAACCTCCCTCAACGCCGAGGCAGAGATGACTCTGCGTCTCTCTCCCAAATACCCCCTCCTCTCTCTGATTCTCTCTCTCACCCTAATTCTGTCAGCACATTCCTTCCAAGTCTTCGATCACGTGATTGCGTGAGCTGCGTCCTTATTGGCCGCTCTGCACTGAAAACCCTTGCTTTTAGCATCCAGCATGTTTATAAATACCCCTTTCTCTCTCTCACACTCACACATTGTCTCGTTTGGCACTCAGAATGTTCTGGCAGACACAAGCGTTCACCTTTACCCTTAGTGGTGGTGATGGAGGATGTCATTGCCTGGTCCTCAGGTGTTGTGTCCCTCACTGAATACAATAACGTTGGTCTCTATTACATTTAAACATATATCAGCTTATTGGGGATCTAAACCATTATATTTCTCTGTCTCTCACGATATGAGAGGCTGATGGAAGTGTGACCTCTGTTGTTTATTGTGCCTTTCACTCTCTAGTTGAGTTCACTCTCTCCCAATTTACTAAACAGGGCAAATTAGCGTGAGGGCGCAATTCCCAAAAAAAGCGCAGATGGGAGTGGAAAATTATGTGCGTGATTTACTGACGACACGCAAATTAAAAACCAGAGAGGCAGCCGGTACATGGTGGCCATAAAGGGATGGTCATGGTCAGAAACAATGCTTAGGTAGGCTGTGGCATTTAAACGATGCCCAATTGGCACTAAGGGTCCAAAAAAAAAGTCTGCCAAGAAAACATCCCCTACATCATTACACCACCAGCAGCAGCCTGCACAATGGTAAAAAGGCATGATGGATCCATGTCCTCATTCTGTTTACCAAATTCTGACTCTACCATGTGAATGTCTCAACAGAAATCGAGACTCATCAGACCAGGCAACGTTTTTCCAGTCTTCAACTGTCCAATTTTGCTGAGCTCTTGCAAATTGTAGCGTCTTTTTCCTATTTGTAGTGGAGATGAGTGGTACCCGGTGGGGTCTTCTGCTGTTGTAGCCCATCCGCCTCAAGGTTGTGCGTGTTGTGTCCTCACAAATGCTTTGCTGCATACCTCGGTTGTAACGAGTGGTTATTTCAATCAAAGTTGCTCTTCTATCAGCTTGAATCAGTCGGCCCATTCTCCTCTGACCTCTAGCATCAATAAGGCATTTTTGCCCACAGGACTTTCACATACTGGATGTTTTTCCCTTTTCACACCATTCTTTGTAAACCCTAGAAATGGTTGTGCATGAAAACCCAAGTAACTGAGCAGATTGTGTAGTACTCAGACCGGCCCGTCTGGCACCAACAACCATGCCACGCTCAAAATTGCTTAGATCACCTTTCTTCACCTTTCACATTCTGACATTCAGCTTGGAGCTCAGGAGATTGCCTTGAACAGGACCACACCCCTAAATGCATTGAAGCAACAGTGTGTATCTGCACAGAAATAACACTAACCGTTAAACCTCTATTGGACCAGTTAATTACACGAGTCCTACCATGAAATATGTGAGCAGTAAAAACTGTGCTTTTCAAAATTATATCAGAGACACCACAAAACAGCAAAATCCACTGTATCTGCCCTTCCGGACTTGAGTAGAAGTGTGTGATGTTGTAATATGCGTGTAATCTGTTTTCCCACACATAAACAATGCATCTACTGCAGAGCCATTCCAGGCCATTGACAGATATAAAAGGAATCTTTTCTCTCTGCCTGTCTCATTTAATGGAACAGATTCTTGTGAATGGATTATGTTGCATAAGGACATGTCAGATGTATTTTATCCCTTGAGAACACAATGCACGACATCATATGTTTTATATACAGAGGATATGAAACCTTTTGCATTTGTTTATGCATTTTTAGTCTTCAATTGTGGTACATTCTCTCAGGGATTTTTTTAACTGTTTCCTATAGTTTATGATTAAAATAAACAATTTTGTCTATATAATCCTTTTTGTTGTCAATATTTAGACAATAAATTAATGCATTTAACATGGGCACAGCATTGACTATTTCTGATTACAAAAAGTTATTATATTATATTATATTATATTATATATATTCAAAAGAGTTTCATTATGACTATAAATACAGCATAGTCAATATAGCAATTTTATGCTAGTGCCAACCTCTATATGTTAAACCTGTGCTCAATAATTATCAAAATGTTCTTTTCAGTAATGAAAACACAGCATCAGAAATGCATTTAACACATTCAGCGTGGGATAGAAGATGTATGCTCATTGAGTAATCGGGATGTCACAGAGTGTCTATTTCTGGAACATATCCTACAGTTACACCCTAGCTTGTTCTTTGGCAGGTCCTATTCGCTGCATCACCAAGGAAACCGCCTCCCATAACCATAGCAACAGTCTCCCCGTCAATGCAGCTGCTGATACTTAGGGTCCCGTGTGGTAGGAACCACCCGACGGGAGGGAGAGGAAGTGAGTGAGCAAGGGCAAGAAAGGACGGCTGATGCGAGTAAAGGGACGGAATAAGGGCCAAGAGGGGCATCTACTATTTTTGTATTTTGAAGACTGAAATGCAGAGAAAACCAAGTGGTGTGTCAAAAAAAAAAAAAACATCAACAGGCCCTGAAAAATGTCCAAATTATATTCAAATGCATTTGCAAATATTAATTATGCCTAACTCATAAAGAAGAAGAGCAGAAAAATATCACATTTGCTCACACCAGGCAGGAAATAAACCAATACATTTGTGCAAAGCAGGAAGTGGCATTACATGCAAAAGCATTTCATCAAGTTTAGCTTTTGCTCTTGTGAGTTTAGCTTGATGAACAAATCCGAACAGCTAAAAAGCAAAGAATTTCCAGACTCATTACGTCATTAAAGACACCATAAGGGATCTTCTGTGCTAGCCTTTAATCTAAAGCTACCGCCCAGTGCCCAATATCTCTCAATATCCCTGCCGGAGTGCAGCACCTCTCAAACGCCTCTGAACACACCCTAATCGCTTGCTATAAAAAGAACAACTCTGTAAGTCTTATATAATGACGAACGGCAGAGTCATCAATTTTAAATGAGTTGTTGCAAGAGGATGGGAGAGAGAGGAAGAGATGTGTATGTGAGAGAGATGGAAGCCACAAAATACTATAGGGAGTATGAATTCAGCCTATAAATACCACCAACTAAAAATAACTGTTCCTAAATATTATGTGCTTGAATCAACTGTTTATTTGAACAATTCAGTTAATGAAACATTTATTTTCACATTAAGATGAAAGATTCTTTCATTCAAACTAATGCTGGATGCCACCCCTACAAAGGTTTTAATAAGAACATTTCTTTCATATTAATGGATATACTACACTGATAGGGGCTGTACCCACAATTCATTGATAATGATAATGAGATTTTCTTACCTGGTTGATGTACAATGTTGTTCAAACAATGATGGACATGAAAAGAAGAATAAAAGAATATCATTAACAACACATACTTGCAACTGCTAGAAATGAAAGGTTATGGGTATGGAAGAGCTAAATCTAAATATTTCAAAAATCTACGTGTAGCAGGTGAATTGGCAGACAGACATCTTAATCTCATAAACTTTGGATTGACAGTTTTGAACAAGAATCAAAAAGCATACAGGAGTGACAAAAGGAGTGACATACAGAAAGCGTTCACCCACAGAACGATTAGGAAATGTAAAATCCCACATAGACAGTTGACTAGATGACACACAACTACAAGACATGTGTATTTTGAGGGATGCTGTGACCAAGAGAAATTGTATTGAAATCCAGATGATTGTAAACTAAAGAGTAACAGTTAGTTGGCTGCCAGTCGCGATGCATAGCGATCAGTGTGTTATGACTGCATTGAAATGTTAAACATCTTTATTATAACAATGGATTACATGCAGCAGAGGTCCATGTTATAGAGGACTGACACAAAGAAGGACAGAAAGAAAGAAAGAAAGAAAGAAAGAAAGAAAGAAAGAAAGAAAGAAAGAAAGAAAGAAAGAAAGAAAGAAAGAAAGAAAGAAAGAAAGAAAAGCATGGAGTACTTAGTGACCTGCTACAGTATTTTTTGCTACAGAGATAGCTAAGCAGAGGAGGGCCCACTTCATCGAGCCATGCATTATGTAATTCATCTCCATACAGTCTTCATTATCACCAACCTTCCAGTAGGGGGGGCTGTGCCGGCGGGGGCTCCTGCTGCTCTGTGATTGATGGGATGAAAGGCATAGCTTCTGAGTGTAAGCTCACTGCAGTGCTGGAGGGAATTGTTGGGGTGCAGTGACTAACAGCTGGTGCACTCTGAGAGGCAGCGAAGTCTGTGGCAATGGACAGTGGGCCAGGGGTCACATTGGGGGCAGTGGTGTGAGAGATGGGGGTTTTCACAGGGGTGCTCTGGGATGGGGGGCTTGCATCTGGGGTCTGCGCCTGCAGCACGGAGTCAAGGAACATAACAGTCTGAGTTGGACTGAGGGCAAGGGTTGACTTCTGGTTGGGATCAGCTGGGTGAGTAGGGTCAGTCTTTGAGTCCATGGGTAACTGATCTGTACGGTGAATACCAGGCAACTCTAGGTTAGTCTTATTAATATCATCTTTAGATTTATCCTTATCAAGCACATCCCTGTCAATCTTGAATGTTGAGTCATCTATGGTATTCACAGTGGAGCTGGGGTAATTTGAGAATATAGAGGTGTTTGCCTGGCTGGTCGGTTGTGGTCTGCATGCTTGGGTGTCCGTGAGGTGTAGAGGTTCAGGTGTGAGCGAGGGTGGTGTACTTCCCTGATCTAGGCTTGCTGTGGATGGGGGCTTAAAATCACCCAAATTAGGGCTGCTAAAATCCATGTCCATCACAGTTGAGGGAGCACTCCATTCTTCTGGAAGCTTCTTCCTGCTCTTGCTCTTCCTGGCCTTGATGCGTCCTCCCCCTCTCTCCTGGATCTCATTTTCCCAAATCTCTTCATCCTTACCGGGAGGTGAGGGGCAGCCGTGGTTGGAGCTTTCGGAAGGAGTCTCTTCAGAGTCTGGGGAACCAAGACTGTCCAGAAAGTCATACATTTCTTCCCTGTTCTTGCGTTTCTTTTTTTTACGCTTCTGTTGCTTCTCGGTTCCTTCCTCAATGGACTTTTCCTCGCCGGACGCTGCATCTTGACTCTGGAAACCCAAGGCATCAGTGCTCCTCTGTTCTGCCTTGTTGGAAGCATTGGACTGCTCCGTTGAGAGCATTTCCTCACCTGTCCAAGGGCTTCCACAAACTTGTTTGTGTACAGAGAGGAAGAGGAAGTGTCACTGACTACCATACAAATGATCGGACAACAAAGTTTGTGCATCTCCAACTCATAAAAGCTTTGAATAAGTGTTCAAAGAGACATTAGGTCAGCTACCAATATGAACCACTGATCACTTGCATCATATAGTGCGTTATACTAGGAGGTGATATGAGGACAGACAAAATTCACTATTCACAAATTCACAATGTATATAATTATTGTATATGTAGTCCTTAACTCAGGAGATAAGTAGCATTAGCAATGGGTTCCCTTTGGAATTTCCAATGGGTTTTTAGAACAGTTATTTTTATGACTGAAAGGTCTGCGGGTAACATTACTTGAGGAGGCTTTCACTTTTTTTACAAGCTAAATATACATGCTCCCCATCGTGTAGAAACTGCTGATGCGCATATGGTCTAGCTTGCATTGTGTAAAAAATTATGAGTGGAGACTAGCACATTTTAAGCTTCGATCCCAAAATTCTGTTTATGAAGCATAAGCAGTCCTTACCTGAATCCATGTTTTCAAATTGGTGCAAAAATTGATGTGAAAAATGTGTTGTCCCTCAAAACTTCGAAGGTTGTACAGACGTGTCATGGACCATGAGCCTTCTGTACGATTATCGGTAAACTGTTAAGTTGCTAGTTACTAACAGAGACTACAACAACAAGAATGTATATGCTTCACATTATATTTGGACATTTGTTGTAGGGGAGCGCGGGGCACAACCTAACGCGGGGTTAAATGTAACACGGACCTTTTACATAGTTAGTCAGGATCAAGCCGGTAGTGTTTTTCTCTCACTGCCAGAAGACGGTCTCCCTCGAATTTGTGGAAAGTTTTGATAATATTTCGTGAAGATACTGGACAAAGAGTGTTTTGACACCATGCAAGTAAATTTTTTCATCAGAGTTGGGTGTGTACATTTCCAAATCTAACTTTATACTGCCTCAATCAAGATCTTGTTTGCTAAAACGCTGTTTTGAAACCTAGCAACCTCCTAGCAACTGTTAGCTAGGCTTAAAATATGTTTTACACAGCGGGGTTAGCACAGTGTTACAACTAAGCCACCAAGTATACGATGATAATCAAATTAAAACAGGGAGCCACACAACATTCCAGGTTTGAATATTTGAAGAGTTCAGATGCAAAAGCCTCTAAGTGCCATTTGAAATTTTCCTCTTTAATGATCATTTTTATCAAGCTTGTATATTTAAGTTCAGTGATTTCACTTAAATGGCAATGATAATTACCTATTAATTGTTATTTAAGTGAAATTACTGGGCTTAAATATACAAGTTTGATAAAAATCATCATTAAAGAAGAAAATTTCAAATGGCATTTAGAGGCTTTTGCATCTGAACTCTTCATTTATTTATATATTTAACTTTGCTGGACTTTCACAAACAATGCTGGAATTTAAAATGTTCAAAATTGAGTTTACTATGCATTGATCACTTGTTTATTTATTAAAAATATGGCCTGTTTTTAATGCAATAAACCCTTTACATTTTTAACATTTGTATTATTACTACTGTTGTTGTTATTAATAATAATAATAATAATAATTTTACACTCTGTTGACACACACAAATCTAATTCAATTGCAATTACAATATTTGATGACTTTATTTATTTATTTATTGCAAAACTAGGCAGCCCTTTTCTTTGTCACTATCCATGATATTGATTCATAATAGAAGGATGATTGGATGAGGGATGGATGTATGGATATCCATCTATACAGATGCACAAACAATATCAAACTATACAAATAAAATAGTACTAAATTATGTGTGTTACACGCAAGTGTTACAACTAACCGCTCTGTTTGTATCAGAGATGTGTATGTTGCTTGTGTAAAAATAAAATGTTGAATCTAACTTAATGTTTTTTAAAATAATTGATCCAAAACCAAAATGTGTTAGGTTGTGCCACGCTCTCCCCTCTTCCCTATCTAAACACTTATTATCAACTTCAGAATTCTAGTTTGATGTATGACTGTTTGTAATTTAAGTTGCAGAACAAAATAAAACCCAGTGGAAATTCCCCAGTGGTGAATTAACCTTCAAAGTTGGCAGATAAACTAAACAGCTCTAGGAAACAAAATGACTTTTCAATTCTTATATGTCTGTTTGTTACATCCTGATAAAGGCCTATTACTACTGTTTCCTAAATAGGTTCTTATTGTAAGATAACAGATCTGAGGGTATCATTACAGCACAGAGCAGTTAAATGGGTGTAATAGTTTCAACAGTGGCTGAGAGAGAATGTGCTGAGAATATGATGTGCTCACTTGAGAGCACATCAAGTGAAAGTGCAAATTAACTCATGGAGAAATAACAGGCAGGGATAACAACAGAGGCAGGTCACAGAGAGATTGACTCAAAGAAAAGCAACAGAGAAGAGTCACATGACATGGACTACCCAATACAAATCCCAGCACTGAGGACAATAAATGTCACTGAAATGAACCAAAATCAACAAGACAGACACTGAACACACAATGGTTGACAAGATCAAAACATATTAAAACTATTAATTGAATTTGGGATATGTTTATCTGGACTGCATGCTGCCTTCGCGTGCTATTGGAATTATCATAAAAACTAGTTTCCTAGTTAAAAAAAATAGACATGAACACCCTCTCAAGTCAAAATGTGAACGCGATGAGCTCGTATACACGATTTCAGAAGTGGAAAGTAGCATGTGAAGGTAGCATTAGTCCAGATGAAGTCAAGATGAGGAAATTAATTCATTTCTAGACCTAAACAAATTGTATTTTTCTGTTTTACATAATATGATCACTAACCCATGCCTGTCCTCTTCACTGATCAAATGGTTATAAACAGTCAGATAATATAAATATTTCAGATACGCTGTCTAAAATGTGAAATGCCTTTCTAAACTGGCTCTGAGCCAGAAGACACATTTGTCTCCTGGTTTCATGGCCATCATGCTCAAATAGTAATATTACAGAGAGGCCGAGTATAAATCTTTAAAATGCCTTCCACTATAATGCACACTTGAAGATTAAGATGGGCCAATCTGATGGGTATTGAAAGGACCAATTTTGAATAATGATCATTGGCTGTATTGACCCATCATGTAAAAAGAACAAATTTGGATTTTATTTGGAATCGACATCACAGTGTGCAAGATATTTAGTCAAGTCAATAACTAAAAAACATGCCTGTTTTCAAGGTAGGCAATACATACCCATGGCATTTAATAGCACAGCTGTCATCCACACTATTGTTGATCAGATCAGTAAAATCGTCTCATACCAGAGGTAAATGACTATGAAAGTAATTCTGTTATGAAAAAGTATTGATGAGGCATCCATGCCTTGACCAGACAATGTGGAATGACATGAGAGCTGAAATCATAAATACATTCTGTGACATGATAATCATATTTGGGTTAAAATCTGTCTTACCTGTTCTAGCCTGCATTGAGGTGCCTTAAGTGGTGATAGACTTTACCTGCAGAATTTTCCTGGTTGTTACGAGGGCTTGTTTCACTTGGATTAGCAGTTATCTGGGATGGTTTGGGTGGTTCATTGGCAAACAAGGGTGAGGTCTTCTGAGGTTCAACCATGCTGAGGGGTTTGGAGGTCTGGAAAGGGGCCATGCCAACATTCATATTCATACCAATATTCATCCCAGGCTGAGAGAACCCTGAAGCATAGAGCAGCAGAGCAGTATCGCATTAAAACTTAACAGAGCCTGAGGAAATGAACTGAATCGAACCCACGGTCTGAAGTCAACAAGATCAAACACTGCAGTGGTTACCCAGAAAAGAATCCATGCTGTTATCCTTCACCGTAGATCCCATCTGTTGGTTTACCAATTGGCCAGGCATTCCAATCATTGATGTAGGACCTAGAATTAGAAAGACTAATATCTAGTACATGATTGGATTTTTGTTGAATTGCTTCATTCAGTTCTCAACAACGACATATGTAATGATCTTACCTGATTGAAAGTCATGATTATAGACATATTGTCCAGGAGGGCTGGGACGGATCTCTCCCTGAGGGTCCTGACGTTGACCTCCAATCTGGCCTGCAGACATAAACCCAGACCCTGAGAAAAGAGAAAAAAAAGACAAATTTACTCTGAATTTGTATATAATTTTCAAGAGATCAGGATATTTATGCAGGGAATGCTGTAGACTTTTTAAAAGTTAGGTAATTCTTTAAATAATACAATCGAAGAGTAAGACAAGGGCTAAAGACCTTTGATCTACATTTAATGGTATTACATTTGCAGCATTTGTAATTTCACCAGGAATCCTTCATACATTTCAAAATGTGATTATTTTTTTTAATTACAGACGGCAACACCAAAGACATTACCATATAAAAATGACACTAGCTACTGTATTTTACTGTATGTTAGCTAAGAGCTTGTGAAATCATGAAATATTGATTTACTTTTACTATTTGTCATGAAAAATAAATAAAGTATTCTGAATTTTAGACAAAAAAGGAGGTATAATCAGACCAACTAAATGATTTAAAGATTCCTGCCAATTTATAAAACCTCTTTAAACTTAAAATAGTAAGAGCTCTTTCTGACTATTTTGTAAAACATGGTCTGTAAAAAATGGGATATTGAATCTTTGGAGACTGAAAATTGTATAGAACTATAATGCATTTTACTAATAACCATGTGACATGAATAACTACATTTTTTGGTCCCAAAAGATCTGTAAATTTAAATGAATGTAGTGAAATTGTCAACATACTCCATAAGTTATTTTTCAAAATCTATTGAAATATATCATAATAAAATGTATATAAAAAAATAAACAAATCTAATTTTGAATGAATAAATCGAAAACATAAATGTTTTAATAATGATTTTTTTGAAGTGCCAAATTGCTTGGACATACAGTAGGTGGACAACCAGAATGACACTTACCGCCACGACAACTGCCGTGGCAAATCCACCGCGGGAACAATAAACCAGTCGTATCCACTTGATGGTCGTTCGTGAAATGACCAACAAGTGGCGCAAAGGGACATTTAGCGAAAGCAAAACGTAATTATGTAAAAAATAATCGCAGAACATTCAGTATTGTGATGTATTGCATTGTATTTGCGACCTCAGCTCTCAATGAGCAGTGGCAAATTACGTCATACAGATAATAAACGGACACTTAATAAACTCGCCAATAAACAGTTACTAATTTAAGCTTCAAGAAAACATTAAAGCTGTCGGTCAACAGCATGTAACAAAGTTCGATCTCGGGTCGTTTGAAGCTCCATGAGGTTGATGTTGTAGCGTTAGCCACAGAGCTACTGTTAATGCTGATTCGTAGTTTCGTATTATATGCTTGAAATGTTTCTACTGCAGTGTTTTAAGTTTTCATTACTTATTCAATTTAATTTCAGTATTGTGATTATTAATTAATTTAACAACGTTTCACTTGAAATAATCTGCTACCAGCTTTCAATCGCTCTGAATGAGCCGAGATTAAGTACTCATGAGATTACGCAATAAACAGACACTTTTCGAAATCTGTGATTGTAGCGCCTCTTAGCGGCAAAAGGCAGCAAACACACCCCAAATTTTGCCGCTGCGACAGAACGACGGTGGTAAAAGCCTTATTTTGGTTGTCTACCAACTGTAGTTCACAAAACTCACCTTTGAATGACCCATCTGTGGAAAACTCTGGTGGAACTCTTCATTGGTAACTAAGTGACATTTATTAGGTCCTGTAAACAAGTAACTTTCATGAAATCTGATTGACTGTCTAGATTAATATGTCCACTCTCAAAGGCAGCAGGGAGGGGTATCCTTGAAAATAGGTCTGCTCCCATCCATTCTGATATTTAGACATTATGAGAAGGGCAAGCGGAGATAAGTGATGCTGAGCTGATGGGACAGGCCGCGACTGCAGGCCTGTTACCGTAGTTACACAACCAGCTGAGGCTGCTATAGCTTCCCTAGGCAAAGCACTCTGTCAGCATCAAGACTGACTGACAAGAGGAGCCAGCACTGAACCAGCCTTAGCTCAGATACCAGTCCTGGATTAATGATTATCATGCTCCCACAGGGCTGGGCTGCACCAGCTCCATGCAATTATCCTCTTTGTGAAACAGGACTGATATGTCACTGTGAGTCACACTTTTATACCAAGGATGCAATGGGAATCGTTCGGCCAGGCCTTTGTGTTTCATGTTGATAAAGTAGAGGGGAATCGACCCCAATGGGTGGGTCTTCAAGGTTATTTGTAGGTTTATGCCTCAAGTAGCACATTTTCCATCTTATTTATGTCTTCGAGATGCCGATGATGTACTGAACTAAACTTGAGCAGGAGCAATACCCTCACCAAGAGAAGCATATGAACCTGAAAACATGCTACAGTTAAAAGCCCAAAAAATGGATGAGGAACTAAAAATAGTCACTTTTGTCCCAGACACGAGGCACTTGAGGTACAGAGACTGCCAAGTCATGCTGTGGTAGAGACATCCCATTCAGCATAGAATTGCTTACATAATGTCATAAACCAGTGCTGTACTAAGGGTACCAGAAGCACAGACAAAGAACCAGAGAGTCTCTGTCATGCAATATGGTTACAAAAGCACACAAACATGAAAGATGTACCAAACAATTTTCGGCATTTCTTTTATTTTAATCAATATTATATTATATCATAATATAATATTATTATTGCGAATAAATAATCCAATTATTTCTTCAGTTTATAAATGCAAGATGAAAATACATGATAATGGAATGAGTGTAATATTATTATCTTTCCAAGAAGTTTTACAACCTGTAATAGCATCATCGTTATTGATTAATCATCTTTGCTTGTACTTTGTTCTTTGGAAATGAGCCTCTACGCGCTTGTCAACAGCCAACTTACAATTTCCATAAATCTTTATTACTTTGTCAATAAAAAAGCTGTATTATCTTACACAACCTTTTCAGTGGAAAAAGCACTAGCACTGCTTGCTAGCTGGCCGTAATGCATTTGTCAGTACAGACATCTTGCTTAGTAACAATTTCTATTTTTTCCAGCAAGTCATACAAGGATCTGATGGAAAAACCACCATAGAAACACACACTTTTGCTGCTATTGCTAAATGCGATATGAAACAGCCTTGCCATAACGAGAGTGCTCATCTTTACAGTAACATCAAATAAATGGGCATTTCTCTCTCTTAATGGAGGCAGTAATTGGATCTCATATCTTTGTACTGAACTGAAGCTATTAATAGTATCTGTCACATCTACTGTGGACAGATCTGCTGATACCAGCATCTATATACAGCTCAGTGCTGCACACATATATATACAGTACCTTGCTCTTGAGAGTGCATCCTGCTGTACTGATGTCTAAGCATTCTGTCAAGCACAAGCCCAATATTATAAAGGACTTTTCTTCATATTTTCCTACAAGTACAAAACATAACAAACAATACTTTTATTTGACTAATGATAAGATAAACAGAATGGGATGGTGGCAGGTAGACCAGTATGCAAAAAAACAAAAATATTCCCCAGAACTAATGGCCCAAACCCTGAAGCTGAAAGTCCATAAAGCTTTGATATCTAATAATCTATAGCCATCTTGTGTAACCTTTACTAAAATAGTTTGTTTTTAGATGATTTATAAATGACTAACTTCACAAAAAGCACCAGCGTTAAACAACAACAATAACAGATTTTAACGTATTTATTCAGACACTATTAGTGTCCTCATGCATACCAGGTGACTAAACTGTGAAAATGCGCCCCAATAAATAACAAACACATTTGAGAATAAATAATGGTGATGGTTGTAACCCAAGAGGAAGGCTGTCCGCCTAACTGAACCTAGAGTTCACTTGGAATGGTTCTTGGCAGATGACAGCACGGTTTGAGGCGGAAAATATTTCTTTGATCAGAGATGTTGCCAACCATGATCAGACGTTTGTCCTAGACAAACAAACACAAAAGCAACCCGAAAAAACCTCTGAATATTAATGTGTTTTTCTTCATAAAACTAACTTGAACAGGATGTGAAACCAAAGTAAAGGAATAAAATGTGTTTCCGCCACTCACCATTATATTTTGTGGCAGAGAGAGATAAGAAATACAACAAACAGCATCTACTTCAGATTAAATACATCAGATCACAATCCAATGCAGAAGGATGACAATAAAATAAAAGCCTGTTCCGGTTTTTTTAAATAATAGGCTATTGTGAAAATTTTCGAAAGCTTGGGGTTGGCTATAGATGTTTATACTGTATGTCTTTGAAAAACATACCCTATGCTCACCAAAGTTGCCTATATTTAGTAAAAAAATACAGTAGAAAATGGTAATATTATAAAATATTATTACAATTTAAAATAACTTTTATCTAATGTAATATATAAAATAAAATATAATTTATTCCTGTAATGGCAAAGCTGGATTTTCAGCATCCTTACTCCTGTCTTTAGTGTCACATGATCTCTTCAGAAATCCTTCTAATATGTTGATTTTGGTGTTCAAAAGAACAGGATTTATTTTAAATAGATTTATTTAAAACATTATAAATATTACAAGTAATATATATAACTTGTGTGGTGTTTTATTTATCCATTTGAAAGCCAGGATATTCCAATAATACATAATTTTGTGTCCACAATAACATTTTGGTGTTGAACGACAAGAAAGTGAGCAAATTTTAATATATGGAAGACATACCTTCCATTTTCCCGTCCATCCCATCCAGAAGGGGGCGGTAGTCTGTCTTCTTAACAGTCTCGCCCACTTTATCATCAAAGGTCTGTGCCTCCAACCCGGCCACAAAATCCCTCTTCAGGAGGCTGTCCTGGGTTGCCTTAGATGCTCCGTCTGTGAAAGCATCACGTAAACTGAAGTCCATCCTCCTGTTGAAAAAAAATTAGAGGCAATCAGTCCAATCAGCAGGCCTAGACCTTCTCAATTAAAAAGTAATACAGCTAAAAGTGCATGTACAGTATATGAAGACTTCAGATGCAAAAGCCTCTAAGTCTGTCTAAAGTTTTTGTTTTATATATATATATATATATATATATATGAAGAGTTCAGATGCAAAAGCCTCTAAATGCCATTTGAAATTTTCTTCTTTAATGATGATTTTTATCAAACTTGTATATTTAAGTTCAGTAATTTCACTTAAATAACACTTAATAGGTAATTATCATTGACATTTAAGTGAAATCACTGAACTTAAATATACAAGCTTTATAAAAATGATCATTCTAGAAGAAAATTTCAAATGGCACTTAGAGGCTTTTGCATCTGAACTCTTCATATATTAGCAGGCTACTATGTATAGGTTTCTACCCAAGTACCGGCATTTCTGAATAAACTGAGTCTGGGATTTAGTGATTTTAAAGTGAAAGTATTTGATGAACTTATACTATGTGTGGAGAACATTCACTCAATATTATTTCACAGAGGTGGGTTTTAGAGGCTTTTGCATCGGATGTCTTCATACACTCTATATCTTGCCCTAGATGCAATAAAAATGTGTGACCTATGTTTGATCCCAACATCCATTTAACAGATAACAATTCATATCTTCAAATGCCCAATTTATGCTACACTCAGAGAGGTCATGCATTTAAAGAACTCTCGTATGGAGGCTTACAACATGTAAATGTGGCAGATGTTCATGCGTCTGCCCTGTGCACCATATATTAAGATCAACTGCCATTTTAAAGAATGTGGCTGCATGCCAAATGTACAGCTGTCATATAAGTTGCACTTTATCTATGGCCCAAGGTTACTTAAAACACTGATTTCCTTCTATATACAGGCAGAACGTGAGAATATGCTTCCATAAAGCATATTTGTGTACTGCGAGCATGTGAACCTGTGGGACATCAGGTGTCACGTAACGTACAAACTCAAATTTAAGTTGTTGATTTGCTCAGATCTGTCCCTTTACACACAGTAAACTATGTATTGTGCATATAAACAGTGTCAGTGAGAGAAAATGAAGGAAGAAAAGGGACAGAAAGGGACAGTGAGAGAAAGAAAGGGATTGAGAGAGAGAGAGACTCATTGTGAGAGATTCAGAGCTTCAGTTTGTTTGCCACCGCATGAGTTTAACTGTGTCGCATTGTTTCTGTAGCTGCCACACTATCCACATTCAGAGAACTCACATTAATACAATTACACACTGTCCTGTTCAACAAATGTCCAAAAAAGCCGCAACACTATTGTGTGACAAACACTCAAACCATCACAAACCAAATAAAACCATCATGCATTTTGACAACAGGGGGCAAATGAGTTAAGAGCTGAACAAATCTCTACAGCGGTTTTGATCTATTCAGTTTAAACATTAATATGATTATGCAAGTCTGTTCAAGGCTAAACATGGGATTAAAATGCTGCTGCCCCAAAACCTATCCAGAATCCATCTCCTCGCCCTGAATCTTCCTCCCTCTCACTCTCTCCATTTTAGTGCAGGTCTTTCCTATTCACTTTCATTACTTATCCACAGCTTTGACTTTGCATTTCCTCCCTCATCTTCTTGTCTTTCCCATCCCCCTGCATGTACTGTATATGGATGTAAAGTGTAATTCGGATGATATCCTGATGGTAAGAGGACCAGCTGCTCCAAAAAATGAAGAGATTAGAGGCAGTGTGATTCCCCCTCGTATTTGTCCCTGCTGACGTCTTACTGTACTCAGCTGTTAATGTACAACAGCACACAGTGATGTACAGTATGACATTAGACAGTAAAAGCATAAAAAAGCTTTGAACTGACAGGAATGATTGTGCAACATCACTTTCAGTTTTGTCGATAAGCCATATTTGTGGGCACATTTTCCTCAGAAACAAAGAACAATCTGATTTACTATTTCAGTATTTATTTACTTTTATAGTATTTATTAAACTTTTGAAGTACCTTTTATTTTTATAATTTCATTTTTATTTTAGTTTAAGTTTCAGTGATTTGTTTGTAATTGTGATTTATTTTTTTATTTTAGATTTTTTTTTTTTATTAATTTAGTTTTAGATTTAGTCATAGTTCATTTCAACTAGCTGCCAAGGCAACATTCCTAATGTTCGTTTTTAAAGGACTTTTAATAGTTTTAGTTTCATTTGACAGCAACATCACTGTTGCTTATTCATAGTATTTATTCAAAAAAGGAAAAAAGACCAAACGTTATTTTTTTCAGAGAGAATAAAACATGTCATACGGCAGGTCATATGGTGCAGTCTCCTAAGGCTTATTCATCAGACCATGGCAAATGAGACACAGGTACATCCCTGCACTTTTACCGCTCTGCCTCTGACTCTGACAAGGCCCTGTGTCCTGCTGTGATTCAGCAGTTTTTCTTTGTGCCATGCATGATGTCACCAGCCCTGGCACAGAGTGGCATCTCACAGAGTGCCATCACTTTCTGTTTACGAGGGACACTCTTTTTCACTTATTCGTTCATTTGAAGTCAAGAGGCCTGAACACTGTGGGTTGGTGTAAATGTGTATGTGTTAAGTGCAGTTGGTCCAAAAGTCTGAGACTGAACATCTGGGATGCAAAAAATGTAAAAATAAATACATTTTAATACATTTAATAAATTAAATATATGAAAGATTCTGTATTATTTTAGGTCATGATCATGTACAGTATGTAAGGAAATGAAAACCTAACATCCTGAAATTCATGTGAATTTTTAAATTCAGATTGTTTGAGCAAACATCTGTGTAACCACAGAGATTCAACAATGAACCAGAAACATCTCTTCAAATGGCGCTCAAAACAAATGGTCCAAAATCTAAACAGATTCTGACAGAAGCACAAGCTGTCCTCCTCGTGCAGTTTAACGGAGAACGGCGAGCTCACAAGAGTTTTTGAGCTCAGACCTCATATTTGGCTGATATTTGGCAACCGTTTGTGTTGTAAACGCTGTATTCCAAACATTCCTGTATGAATGCACACAGAACGTGGGATGAGGGTCTGGCTCAATGTGTTCCATTGTGTGCCAAAGCCACTGAGCATGCGGCTACTTGCTGCCATTCATTGTGACGGGGTTTATGTATCTGCGGCACCACCGATCTCTGTCTTTCTCTTAGTTATTCAGAGTAAAAATGCGGCATCCAAAAATAAATCACCTTCAATCAGTCAGACTGGAGTATCAGGTAACCAGTCTACTGGAGCCATCAACAATAATGATACATGATGTTTTTTTCATTTTACTGAATGGTAAAGCCAAAGTATGATCTTGTATATTTCTCACCCCAATAATGTAATCAGCTTACATCATCATCCTAAAACGGGGAGAGTGCTATTGGCCTGCCCATGGTCACAACATAACAACGGAGGGGGGTGGGCTGGTCCGTGCGGATTAGAATCAGGGGCCATCAGTGAGGGGAATGAGGATTATGTATGACGGGACGCAGGGCATCACAACAGGCCAGCAAGTCCTGACTTGGCACCCCAGAATCAAGGCAGTCCAGAAACCGCATGCCATCATCTTACTGAGCTTCCCTTTCCCAGCGACATATGATGATGACACAGTGGGTTCACCCCAGTTCATTTACATTTTTTCATTCTACTGAATGCTAAAGATTTTATGTTTTATTTTATATTTTATTTCATTCTCTTCTCAGACGTATGAGAAAGAGTTTATACAAGATGACAAGGTCAAACAGACATGTAAAAACAATGCAAAAATGTTTGTTACATTCGCGATGGATCACAGAAAAAAAGCTTTGTAGGCCTACTCTTTTTTTTTTTTCCGATGACATTATAAATATATCATGTATCAAAGAAGTTATATGAGATGATGAGACACTTTTGAACAAGGTTAGCCACTGCATTTCAAACAGCCAAACATATTTTTACTGCACTGGAAATGGTTTAAAAAAATATCTTAAACTGTTCATCTATAAATAGTGACAATTCTGTCAAACTAGGTGTCTCACTGCTGTATCCCATCTGTTTATGGTGCGGTGCCCAAGCTGCTTTTTTTGGACATGGTAGCTAGTTCGTTACTAGTTTAACATGGTCTACAAGCTCGAACCAGTTTTATAAAGGTCTATCAGCTTGATCCTAACCCAGCCACGTTTAAGCTATCATTCATTAAATATTATCCAGATTTGAAATTTTGCAGTTATGATGATTAAAGGGTTAGTTCACCCAAAAATGAAAATTATTTAATTATTGACTCACCCTCATGACGTTCCAAGCCCGGAAGACCTCCATTTATCTTCAGACCCAAGTTTAAGATATTTTAGATTTACTCCAAGAGTTTTCTGTATTTTCGATGCTTCAAAAATTTTAACTAACCCACTGATGTCACATGGACTACTTTGATGATGTCTTTATTTCCTTTCTGGACAAGGACATTATACCGTACATACATTTTCAATGGAGGGACAGAAAACTCTCGGACTAAATCTAAAGTATCTTAAACTGTATTTCATTTTTGGGTGAATAATCAAAATCCATTCAATATCTAATGCAATGCATAATAGTTTAGGGTAAGTGATTTTATATTATTTGTAGAGGCTTAAGTTTACGAATAACATTCTAATTTACCAGTGGATTTTTCATGTGCTTCCTGGTATTATTTACATGATGAAGCATGATCACACCCGCTATGAAAATATTTGCAGAATGACAATGACCTTTGTTGCATTAATCACCATTACATTTGATCATCTCCTGATATTTAAATGCTAATTAATATTTTAACATATCCGCCTCAGCTTACCTGACATCACACTTTTACCGGCCTCACCCATTCAAAAATAATACAATACAACAGACAAGAATACAAACCCAAGAGGGACACCTCCTTGTCCTTCACACTTGGTTTAACTGAATAAACACTACTGTGACATTTGTTCATGACCTGTATGCAAAGCAAACAAAGCCAGTCACAGTGCAAAGAATGAAAAATATATATGCATTAACTGAATAAAAAAAATTATTATTGGGGGGGTATGGGGGTGTGGTCAAAGTGTTCCCCTGTCTCTCTCTAATGCAACCATTCGGAATATCAAATTAGAAAACGTGCACATGAAAGCAGAATGTCTCATAACACAAATTAACCTGTCCCAGAATGCCAGGTCTCCATTCATGACCCTCAATGCATCGGTTTCGGATCGTGTGTTTACGGATCAGTATGACGCATGTCCATGAAGCATGTTGAAGAGATGCACTGCAGAGAGCCGAGCACGCGATGGCACTGAACGCGCTATGCCACTATGGATGAGAACAATGCGAAGAGACGCGACGAACTAGAACGCGCCCATTATAATCCAAACCAGCTTCATTTATCAGAACTGACTCGTTATGGGTTTTTTCGCGTCGTTTGTTTGCAGTTTATATGGGTTGTGAAGCTTAAATTGTCCTTTATAAGGAACCTTTCACGATTTCATCATTCCAAAATGTTCACATTGTTAAAACATTATGTGGCATTGCTGAAGTTATGTAACTGTAGTGGCTTTTTATAGAGGTTTGCCGTGGAGGACACCTGTCCAGAGCATCCTAACTGCGGCAGTGCCTAAACAAAGAAATCTCGGCAGGTCGACATAATTTTGGAACGCCTGGAAACTATAGAGAGCGATTAGTCATAGCCATTCTGTTGTTATATCGCATCATTATCTCGCGTGTGTAACAATAACTAACGCCTGTCATCCAGGGACTGCGACGGAATCAAAAGCTAAGCGTGCACGCCGATTCGTGGTCAATTTTTTTCTCCATTACGGTTAGCCTTTCGTAATGCAAATTTGCCTTTATTGTATTCCTATAGTGAAGCGGTAAAATGTGAGCACAAATCACAATGTCAATGTGCACTTACCCGTTGTTGTTGTTTTTAAAATTCAGTGCTCTGTAGTGTTGGCCGATGTGCACAGTCAGATCCGCCCTCTCGTACAGTGCGCCTCTGTGATCTCAGGCGACGCCCCGCCCCTTATTCTCCTCGACCAATCACAATTCAGGAAAATGTACCCTAGTCCAGCTCTAGTCTAGCCAAAGCAGCACTACATGCTCTTGCATCCTGAGCATCCTCTCGTTCCTTGCTTGCGTTCCCCACCATTATTGACGGACAGCCAATGGATACAATGAATGAGTAGCTGTGTTGATGGCATTGAGAGACAATAACCTACATCAGCACTGAACTGGCACTCAATAGATCTATTTGGGCACCAGACAGCGCAGTTGACATATATCGAAAAGGTGAACACATTGTATGTGAGACGTTATTGTAGTTTCTATGCAGGCCTTTATGGGAAGATTCATTTGAAAATCCCCTGAATGTAACTTCATACATTTATGACCCCCTTATAAAAATAGGCTGTGAAAAGGGTATAAACTATAAAGTGTTGTGGAAGTAGGGAATTCCTCTATTGTGCTCTTTATCCGATTCTGGATCATGATTAAGGAGTGCAGTTGAAGCATTAATATAAAAAATATAACAATAGCCTTACAGGCCCTTTTTTAAGAGGGTGTTTCTCATTCGGCTGGTTTCCCATTACACTCAACCCGTGTTTCCTTTCAGGAGCTGCACTTGAATAAACAGTTCAATGAATTGTCCTTTCTACTCTATCTAAAAGACTAGGCTACTGGTCTTAAAGAAACATTGACAACTGTGTTTTTGCATTATTGAATGAATGTGTTTCTATATTTGCACCAAGGGTTTAGGTGGGTCTTTTCCTGTGGGAAGGGTTTGTCTATGTTTTTGGCCGAAGTATATCCTATTATAATTTACACAAAGTTATTTGTGTTTGCTCATTTGCTTATTTGATGCTAAAAAAGATATTTCAAAGGATGGTTACACTTTCGGTTGAGAGCAAAACAACAAGTATGAGCAGAACGATTCACTTCATTTTTAGACACTCGTCAACCTTTTTGTTTTAATTAAGCAGTACAATGGAAATTGGGCAGAGCCTGAGCGTGACGTGGACTTTCAATTTGCCCTCTAGCTCTATAGATTGAATCTACTGACATATCAGAGCCTTGAAAATGGATTTCATTAGCTTTCATGCTGGCAGCAGCATTGCAGAAGTGGTGACATTTGAAAAAAGAAAAATGTCCTTTTTGACACCAGAGAAACAAGGAAAAGGATGATGTTTTTCTTTTATTCAGTCAGGTATGTTCTTTAATAAACTTCTATAGACTTGTGAATTTTGTGTATTCATTTATTCAATGTGAATGTGATTACAAGTTCATTGGAGGTCAAATGTGCACAATAATCGATTTATAGTAAGCTAACAATAAATATTCCTACTTAAGATTGCAATAAATTACATGTCATTACATTTGAACATTCCAAGCTATATTCCCTATAAACTCCCATATACCACATTCCCTATACATATCTTTCTAGCACATTTATATATGTCTTACTACTGGATGTGCTTGGCATAAACCATGCGGAAACTGATTATATATCTATTATATATGTATATTACTAATTCTATTAGTGATATGTATTATATTCTAAATGGATTTTTAATCATAATCTGTCTAAATCATATTTTGACCCCAAACTGATGATTATATATTTAGAGTGATAAAACATTGTCATGGGGAAATCTGTGCAGTGGATATTTGAAAGAAACAAACACATGTTTTAATGTAAATTACTGGCAGCAGGATTCACAAGTGTTCCCTGGATTAACTCACTTCTTCCACCTGAGATTCATTTTCTAAATCATACTCTGAAGGGTCTTTCCAGTCTATTGCTACAGTATGTCCTTTTCTCCAAACAAACAAACAAACAAACAAACAAACATCAATTCAACACAAAACTGCACTGTTAAAAAAACTGATATGCTAATACAAATCATTACATTTACACCTCAAAATAGCAAGTGAACACTTTCTTAAAAGACAACATTTTCACTGAGAGGCTGGTAAAAACAGTAGCTGCGTTTATATGGACACGTATAATCGGATTGACGACTCAATCGGACTAAAAAACCTTCATGTAAACAACTTAATCAATCTGATTGAGATTGATCCGATTGAAATTTCGATCGGATTGAAAGGGGTGGTTTACTCCTTTTGTAATCTGATCAAGAGAACGTATAAACACCTGATCGGATTGAAAACCGAAACTAAAATGACTGCGCATGTTAAAATAAGCAGGGCAACGTCCCACCAGTGCTTGTTGGAAATTGAGGGGACAAAAAAATACAGCATGACATTAGGAGAGGTGAGGAGAAAAAGGCAACCCCCAGACTATGCTCCTGTAAGGAGTACAGTGTGGGGACAGAAAAAAAAAAATACACCTCAGCAACATTAGCACACAATCAGTACACTCTACAGTACAACATGAACAAAAACAGAGGTGGGAAGTGGAGGGTGTCACGGGATGTGGTGCAGGGGTGCAGGAGTGCAGGTAGAAGGAGCGGGAGGAATCCAGATTCACATCAATATGCGGGTTTATTTTAAACATACAGGGCAGGGAAACAGGAGCAAACATCGGGTAACATCAAACATCGACTGACAAAGACAGACTGAATAAGATGGAACTAAATAGACAGAGGAATCAAACTAAATGGAGTGCAAACAGGTGAAAATGATGATGAACAGACGAGGAACAGGTGGCTGATGAGGGAGTGAGATCAGGAGAGGAAACAAAAGGATCCGGGGAAGCGTGGTGCAGATGACGGGACAAACAGGTGAAGACGAAGACTGTGACAGAGGGATGGAGGTAGCCCAGCGCAGGCAAACAGCCATCCAGTCCTGCAACCATTTCGGTGCTAGTCACAGACCCGCCTGTCAGACTAAGCGGCGAAGGCGAGGGATGGGGTATGGGGCGGGTGATTGCATATCTGTGTATGTACAGTATGTCTGAGTTGTACATGTATGTGTAGGCCTGGAGAGTCGCTATGGCTGGCATCATAATCTAGGTGCCTAAGTCCGCAGGATTGTCATAGCGATCCACAGCAAGTTGTCATGGAGACAACATTGATCAGGTCCCATTTAAAACGTGAACATCAACCCGATTACTTCATTTATCGTTGATGTAAACACCATGTTCGTATTCATCAATCGGATTGATTTCATTCCGATTGAACCATGCAAACGCAGCTACTGAGTGTCGTTAGACCAGCTAATACAAATTTACCAAACTACAGGGACATTAACGATGCCTCTACAACAGACTTTCTGAGGTAATCAACATGAACCTGAAGTAGAAGATCTTCAAAACATCCTGCCAACATTGTGGTGGTCCGTCAGGTTGTACGCATTGTTTTCCACTGAGATGGTGCAAAAAAGTTTCACTCTTAACACCTAGGATCAGAGTCATGTCTTTTTTGGATTGAGGAATCATCCTCTACCTGATGTTGCGCTGGCAATGACAGGCGTCTTGAACACTCGGAGGACTCTAAATCTGTCCTCCGACCAGCCTGTGGATGGTGAACAGTTCCAATAGGCTCTGCATTTATGAAACAATAACTACCTTGATCAACCATGACTGTTTGTTGGCGGCCGGTGAGTGCTGTAAGATTACCAGATGTGTTCCCTGCATTGTGGCTCATGGTATGTGGCCATCTCCCTGTATAAGCCCTACAAGGAGTCTCAAAGGAGGGCTGTAGGGAACAATCCGTTGTACCTGGCATACTTTCACTGGGACTGCCAGCAGAGTAGTGGGGATCAAGTATCTGGGAAAATCAAAGAGGATGAATTAATGATTGGAGTTTGTAGTGACAATCATTAAATGCAATACAAATTGATGACTGTAATGTGAAAGTTCGTGAAATACCTCAGAAAGAATGGCTGGCATTTCTGTCTCTAAAGGATGGACCAGTTTCTGGCCTGGTTTGGGTGGATTTGGAGGTGCTTCTGTAGGGGACGTCACAGAGCTATAGGTTGGTGGAACCAGCACCATCTGCCTCTGAAGCAACTGCATTATGGCCCCAATGTCTGTTGACATACGCTTCTCCAATCTTTGAAAAAAAAAAAAAACAGTTCAAAACATACCTATAATGAGCAAAGGACATCAAGATAACAACAATACTGTAGTTTGATCTCACCGCTGGAGTTGTCTATGCATCATTTCCAGTCTGTTCTCTACCTCAGTGCAATGACGATGGGTGACATTGTTCAGGACGGTATTGGAGGGAACCGAAGATGAGGTGAAAGACATGCTGTGGCTAGGTACTTCCTGGTACTGATGGCCACGACTGTCCTCCCAAAAGCTGAAGACGTTAGAAACCCCCGAAAGAGCTCCTAATTTAAATTAAGGGTAATGTCAAAATGATGTATTCACTGCAAGGGAAGAGTTCACCCAAAAGTGAAAATTCAGACATTATTTATGTTGCTCCAAACCCATAAGACTTTCCTTCATTTCTGAAACACAAATGAAGATATTTTGAAGATTTCTGTCAGTCCATTGAAAGTACATTTATGTATTCTGAAGAGAATTTATGAACATATTTTATTTGGGCTTTGATTCACATTCAAACAACATACATACAGCACATCAAATATGGAAAACAGAATCTGAGCAGTGAGCTTCTTGATTACAATATTTAATACGTTTTATGTGTGTTGTTTATGAGTAAATAAAAGCCTTCCAATCTATTCATTATAAGAAGCAATTCATAAAGTGCCTTGTAAAAGTATTCATACCCCTTCATTGTTATGTTGCAAGCCTTATGTTAAACCCCTTTAAATCACTTTTTCACTTTCAATCTATAATCTTCAATACGCCATAACAACAAAGCAAAAAACAGATGTTTTGTAGATTTTTGGGTGAATGAACTTTCATTGGAAGAACAGAAATTACTCAGGGTTCATTAAAAACATCTTTATTTCTGTTTCGAAGATGAAGGAAAGTCTAATGGGTTCGGAAAAAAAATGTAGGTTAAGTAAATGATGGCAGAATTTTCATTTTTTGTCTGAACTAACCCTTTAAGTGAAAATTATTCCATTTATATTCAAATGAACATAAATGTTAGGATCTTTGTTATTTTATGTTTTTTTTATGTCAGTTATATCAGGAAAGATATCCTCAGAATCCTACCTGACAGCACGTTGAAAGAGTTACTGGTTTTGAGGTTCTTGTCCCTTTTAGCATTGCTTATGCTAGTGATATGGCTCTGAGAGCAGTCCACTATCGTAGTGGGCCGTCGAGTCTCTTCCTCTTCATCACTGCTGGACTGGGAAGCAAAGATATCCTGCTCCTGATGAGCGGCTTGTCTGTCCTCGTGCTGTTTGTTTGGGACCTGTGTTTGGAGAGTCATCCTTTTGAGCTTGTCTTCTGTCCACTCTGTGTCTGTTACTGAGAGAAATTGCAGTAGTTATTAAAATCCAAGAATCTGGAAGAATCTATAAACTATCACACAGTGTTAGCTCTTACCTTGTCCGCTAGAGTTTCTTATGGAACGAAACAACAGCTTTGTACTTCGCGTGTGAGGGTCAAGACAGCCATGGTCAGAATCATCAGGGTCACTGCTCGTTGACCCGGCTTTAGTGTTAGTCTGTTGAGGAGATAACAAATGGTTAAAACCCACATTTATTCGGGTATGTACTATAATGTAAACCAATTATCAAGTTCATATGCAAGATTACGTCTCTCAAATTGAAGGTGATCTCCAGGTTGCTCCAGAAGTAATCTGAGAATTCTGGATACATGTCCAAGACTTCCAGTACATCATCTCTGTGGATTTTGTGCAGGTCACAGTACGTCAGTGCTCTCACATCAGAACTGGACTTTCCAGGACGTGCAAATAAGTTAATGGGCTCTCCGAATATATCATTCTTGCCTGAGGATGAGCAAAGGGAAGCGATATTGACCATAAGCTTTAAAAGAACACTCAAAATGTGACTCTTCCCTCAGTTAACAAACACTAGAAGCTTTGAATTCATAAAAGCATACTACCACACAATTCTCACTATTTTCCCCATATGAACAGTACGAGTAATATGCTAGTATGTGGTAGGCTATGCTATTTAAAATTCAGCCTCAGAAAACAGAAGAAAAAAAAATTGTGCATCAACAACAGATGGCGCTGCATGTCATTAAAAGAAACATAACAGAAAAATACACATCCACAAGGTGGCGGTACACAACAACAGCTTTCTCCTTGGATGAGTACTTGGGCTTTGTCTCAGAGTAAAATAAGAGAAAATAATACAATACAATAAAATAGTTTCACAATTTTATAAATCTAGAAGTGAAGAGTTCAGATGCAAAAGCCTCTAAGTGCCATTTGAAATTTTCTTCTAGAATGATCATTCTTATCAAGCTTGTATATTTAAGTTCAGTAATTTCACTTAAATTGCAATGAGGATTACCTATTAATTGTCATTTAAGTGAAATTACTGAACTTGAATATATAAGCTTGATAAAAATGATCATTTTAGAAGAAAATTTCCAATGGCACTTAGAGGCTTTTGCATCTGAACTCTTTAAGTATACTCTAATGGTGGATAGAAAAAAATGTTGTGTAAATGTAATATAAAGTATATATTTTCCATACATGTATACATGTTTTCCATACAGGTTTTTTTTTGTGTGGTCCATGGACTAAATTTGGAATATGCATATGATCACAATGTCAGTTTTTGTGACCCAAACTCTCTTCCTTTACCTAAAATGGCCACTACCACATCTCCCTTTAAGATCTCAATGGAGCCACGAGAAATGAAGTATAGCGCTGGAATCACATCACCAGCATGGACCAAGGTGTCTCCTGGTGGGGCGTGTGTGGTCTTGAACTTCATAGCCAAAGCACGTAAACAGCCTTTAGTGGAACCCCTGAAAGCTTTACAGTTCTGCAGCAATGTACGATTTAGATGCAAACAGATGTCTGCCTGTAAGCACTCTGGGAACCCCTTCAGCACCTGCAATGAGATAAAAGAGGCTAATGTGATAAATGATACAGCGCAATATGCCATGTCACGTGTGTATGCAAGAATAAAGAGAGTGGGGAAAAAATAGAGTATGCCCAGGTGTTTACAAGGCATTCTGTCTGTGACTCACAGCATTCATGTCAATGCCGTTCGTGTAGGACCAAGCATGTTGAAAGTACTCCTCCAGTTTTTGCTTGAGTGGGTTGGGGATCTGGTGGAAACGGATAAATTCCCGAACCCGCAGCATCTGAGTGTGGTAACGTGCAGTGCCAGAGTACAGCCTCTGGATGATGGCTGACACATTTCCAAATATGCTAGCATACATCAGCGCTGTAAATGAAACAACAACGGGAAACATTTTATTGTATTTTAGAGCCAAACATTTCATTCCCCTCAGATTGACCAAAGATAAATATTTATCCACTTAATCTTCAAAATTCCACCAAATTTTACAACCAAGTCACTATAGTATGATTAGTTGGGAAGTTTAATACTATCACTGGTTCTTTATCAATGGGGCCATGAAAATATTAGAATATTAATGATTAAAAAAAAATAATTCAGCTTCACTATCAAAGGAACAAATTATATTTTTAAAACATATTAAAATAGAAAACATTTTGTTTTTGAGTTCTCAAAATAAATGATTCAGTCATAGTAATAATACTAACATTCAATAATGAACACTAACCTCCAATAAGCATGACACAGATAGAAAAGATCTTCTCGGAATTGGTGTTTGGGGAGACGTTTCCAAAGCCCACGCTGGTGAGGCTACTGAAGGTGAAGTAGAGGGCAGTGACATATTTATCTTTAATCGAGGGTCCTGAGCCAGATATCGAAATATTATAAGGCTTCCCCAGCTGATCCCCCAAAGACTCAAGCCAACCAATCCGAGAATTACTGTTCCTCTCCACGTTCCCAATAGCATACCAGATGCAGGCCAGCCAGTGGGCGATAAGTGCAAAGGTGCACATGAGGAGAAAAAGCACCGCAGCGCCATACTCAGAGTAACGATCCAGTTTACGTGCCACACGCACCAATCGCAGCAGCCGAGCAGTCTTCAGCAGGCCAATCAGAGTAGTTGTCTGCCAAAAACATGAAAACAATCAAAAGGTTATGAGATGGTTGTTAGCATCTATGACAGAATATTAAAGTCTCCCTGAAATCAAAATGTGCAATTCTTATTTTTTTCAAGTTTTATTTATATAGCGCATTTCCAAAGCTCAAGGTTGCTCATGTTAATGTAATATTGCAGAATTTATTATAAATGGTTCATTTGTATTTATTTATTTATCCCTCATTATCTTTAATACAAATAACTTCTCTCTCTTGCGTCAAAATCTCTTTTTAATGCGTTTTTTTCTGTGCGAGGGCAGAGGGCACTCACATGACATCACAGCAACAGCAAACCACAAACATCAAATCATTTCCCAATGGAAATATCAAGTCCCGCCCAACATTTTTTCTTGTTTGAGAAGCTGTTTCAGCTGTTGATATACTGCATGTCGCAATAGGTAAGTAAGACTATCGCAACTTTCGTTGCATGCCAACTTTTAAAATTAAAATTACCCATAAGATCACTCACCTCTTCCCCTGAACGATAAATGAGCAAGTCGAAGGGGATGGCAGCCACCATGTCAATGAGGAACCAGCCTTTAAAATAGTAGATGGCTATCCGTCCAGGCTGACTAACCACTTCGTCGTTGCTGTTTACGTAGGTTGTGCGAAAGTTAATCACAATGTCTACTACGAACATGATATCCACAATGAGGTCCACCACGTTGAGTGGACTGCAGGAGTAACCGCAGCGCTGCATGGCGGCCTCTTCTTCGTCGCTGAGCAGAAACGAAGCTGAGTAAGGTGTGAAGATTGCTGTATAGATGACCAGCAGCAAGATGACCCAGTCCCAGACTGCCTTGAAGGGGCTGTAGTGTAAGATGGTCCATTTATGGATACGGGGAGCCTGCAGCTTATACTCAGGTAGGACATCCGCACCCAGAGACAGTACCTGAGGAGGAATGTACTTCACAATGAGAAGTCTTTTCAGATTATGACTGACATGAATTATTACTGAAGTGCTTTTGTCATTACATATTTCAGATGAAAGCACCTGCTGCTGCACATCTGCACCAAAACCACTTTCACACAGTCACATTATCAACATGATTTTAATGGTGTCCTGCTCCAGAATGAAATTAAAATTCAATCAAGTTTTTTTTTTTTTAAAGTCATGAATTCTTTTATTCATCAAAGAGGAATTCAATTGACAATAAAGATTTACATTTTTACAAAATATTCTGTTTTAAGTAAAGGCGGTTCTTTCGAACTTTAGGGCTCACTTCCAAACCCTCAACGTCCACTGACACTCCCTTGGCGTTGGATGACGTGGCTGGCTCACACACCTGGTCAGGCAGACGCTGCTCGGGTTCCACAGCGATGTGATCCTTGGTCGTTGTAAGGGGCATGGGCTCTAATGTTGTGGCGGATTCCCTCGCGTTGCCTGGAGTGGGCTGTGGCTGTCGATGCTTTTAGGCTAGGTGGTTCTGGCTGTCCATTGGATTGGGAATGGGGGTGGTGGCATTTGACAGTGAACGCTGATCAGCAGGAAACCAGCACCCACTCCAAAAATCCGGTGAAGCTCCCTCGAGGAGCCTCCCTGGACAACTGCTCTCGTGTGGCGGTGTTGGGGCCGGCGAGAAGAAAAGAGCTCAGGCAATTATCCGGGAAGGTGGTCTGATGGGCAAGGTCCAGAAACTCCTCTAAATGTTCCTCAAGGGACCATTCTCTCTGCTCAAGGAACAACAGTTTTACTGCTGGAATGTCCATATATAGTACAAATAAACCAAAACACGTACTTACTGAAAATAAATAAAACTTCAAAAAAACACGCCGCTATTTACTTTATAGGTCTGGTGTTCTGTCAAGCGGGTGGTTGTATAAACGTACACAAAGATGAAGATAAAGACAAAAGGGCAATAGAACAGAGTACCATAAAACACATCCTTAAACTGACAAAACCGCGGACAACTAAACTCAAACACAACTAAATATACACGTCATAAAGAGTAGACTGAACAGCTATGAGTAGAGTAGAGTGAACAGCTGAACATAAAAGTTACTACAGCCTAAAGTAACAGAACCGTGAAATTTACAATATTAATGTCTTTATTGTATTTTGGTCAAATAAATAATTTTGATCAAATTGGTATAAGAGAACATAAAAAAAATCATACTGACTGAAACTTTTAAATGGTAATGTACAATTACATGAATAATTATTCATTTGATTTAGATATTATATAATTATAAATCACAAATAATTGGTTAGTTCCAATTTACCCTTCGCTAAAATTAAAAAAAAAAAATGTTACTGATAAATTCTACCTTAGCGGCTATTGCATCAGCAATTTTCACGTTTTTGCTGTCTCCACATGCGTTTTTTATATTTCAATGCTGCATAATTGTAAAAAAAAATAAAATAAAAAAAATAATACAAAACATATTCAAAGAGAAACAGTATATAAATATTTATTTTATACCACTTTATGAGCACATATTCCTATGTTCTGTAAAGCTTCTCTGAGTTATCATCAACCTCAATTGTCTGTTTCATAGACTAGCCAGTTTAACCAAAACATTTTTAGTCCATTCTCCTCATTTAATTGTAGAACGCTTTTACAAAGCTTGCTGTAAGGCAGAAATATTATCATATGTTCCTGACAGGAACTGAGTGGGCTGCAACTCAGTGTGGGTGAAGTAATGAATCCATGTTTAGTCTCTGAGATATCCACTGAGTACACATCACTGCAGGGAGAACATTAACGCTTCACACTTGTAAACACCCTCTAGGCAGCAAATTTCATCTCATTATTTTTTCCAGGCCCCTAAAGATGAGACCAATGTTTAGTCATTTGCTCAAAGCTCCGGTGAGTTTTTATTACTCTTACTTGTGTTTATTTGAATAATTAAGGCAGTAGATTAAAACACACAAATTGTATTCACTACATAACTATAAAAAACACTTTATAGCTCAGGTATAAATATTTTTGCATATAAGCACATTATGATTTATTAAATATACAGAATCAAACAATTTCTTGTTTTAAGACAGCCTTGAACTTAGTCTACCAAAGGTGAACTTAGTCTACCAGTGATGCAGAATCATAATCAATTTATGTAAATCTTTCTCTTGCTCATAATGTATAATTAGAATGAAGAAACATATCCACAGAAGACTAAAAAAGCAAGAGGGAGGGAAAAAACATCTAGACTTCATTTGTTTATAGAAATTAAAATTTTCATAATCAAAATACTACACTGACACTTGTCCTCACAAATAACTGCACTGAACGGCTAATAAAATCGAAATCTCATTTAGCTTCCAAATTAATTATGTTTAGTTCATGCATCCATTTTAATAAATAGGTTAAGAATCTATGAAAAGGCTGATGTAGTTTACATCCATGACTTGCCTTAGCACTCACTTGTGTGGAACAGCAAAACAGTCAGACAATAACAAGTGACCTTCTAAACTACAATAATTCGACATAAAAAAATAAAAATATGCATAATACATAAGGTGGTTCTAGAATGAATTGTTCAAATACATATTTATACAGTATATAAACTTAAAGTCTCTGGTCGCTCTTACCTCTCTGCTCTCTTGGCCAAGAATGGGACTTGTGATTATTGAATGCTCAGATAGCCTTGTTTGCAAGGCATGTGTTTCTGAAATGAAGGCTGAGGCTGAACAGCAGAACAGAACTGGAAGAGCTTGTTCAGTGGCTTTAGCACCAAGGTCAGGATCATGATCCAATAATCTTCCGACTGCCCCTGCTACAGAATCCATGACTCCTCTACATGTCTGCGAGGGGAATGGTGAGCACAGAAGCTGCTCTCCTCAGGAACCAGGACCTGTCCAACCCCCAATTCTCTCAGTTTCTTTTCTGCCATCTTCTGGATTTGGCCATTTAGCAGTAGTTCTCTGGATTCTTGCAGTCCATCTACTCATGTTTTGTGCTACTGCCCTACAACATTTAGCAAGAAAGTTTAAAAGTTCTGTGGAAAAGCCATTTTTAAGATCGAAAGACCTATTTGTGCTGATTCAGATGCAAAATAGCTGCCAGTCATTACATACATACATACATACATACATACAAAATGAGAGAGAGAGAGAGAGAGAGAGGGAGAGAGAGAGAGACCACAGGAAGAGGGCACACCAAAATCTAGGACACACATTTCCCTAATCTTTTCAGTTTGAATACTGAGTAGTGAAACATTTTGTGATTTTATAACATTTTTTTTTTTCAATAAAAATAATAGCAATTGAGAAGGGAAACATTTCAGTTTACATATTTTGTTAGCATATAAATTAAGTCTTTTTAATAATTTTTAAGTCATATTAGGTTGAGAACCACTAATTTAAAAGTACATATTTACACAGATCTTGGAAGATTTGTTATTGTCTTACAAAAAAGTGAACAAATATAAATGATTTGCTAGTGTTGAATGGCAATACTGCAATGCTATAAGAAAAGTGTTAATTTTATGCAAAAAGCAAATACAATTTTTGGTTTCTTCTTTTTGAAAATCATTTGTTATACTTTTCTTCAAAGATCCCAATTGTATTTCGTCTTTAGGAAAAGGCTTTTAAATGTTCTACCTTGATTTATTAATATCCAGAGTGAAGGAGGAGTTACTTCGAGACCTTTTCTGTCACTTTGGATCATAAATAACATCAAAATCCTTCTGTGTTCCTTAACTCAAGGCTTGATTCACCCTCAGTGCTAATTAAGGAGCATCAACTCACATTAATTACAAGGCTGCTGTTGGGTCTATATGCATTAATAAATGAGCAAACATTTGATTCCAAATCATGTTTATTCACCCATGTCAACCAAAATTGGTGATAAACAATTTTGGCTCCTGTGACATGGGTACACTGTCCTTGTGAATTAGATATGTGTGAGTTTGTTGGGGTGAAGGGGTGGGGTGGACATGTCAGTCCAAGGCCAGTACCACAGCAGGGGTGGGAAAGTGAGAGGACGTAAGGGTGAAGGAACCGGCCTTGAGACTGAAAATAGCCTTTTGGGATGGAACAACATTGAAGCTACATTGAACAAAAAATAAAACACTGTTACCCTCACTGGCCCCTTGTTCTCTGACTCACCAGACAATTTACAGGTTTGATCTACAGCCAAGACATCTACTACCTTTCAGAGATCTGTGCAGTAAAATCTATTGAAACATACTTTTAATTTATCAGATTAGAAGAGCCATGTTGGCAGGGAATCTGCAATCAATAAGATACATGCAACATTCTGGTTCTCAATCTTTCTGACTTCTGACATTGTTCAAAATAATATTTGATAGAAAAGATAGAATTCCAGAATTTAATTTAATAAAATATGGGTTATACTTTAGGAAATTTTAAATGTATGACTTTTATAGGTCTAGAAATCGTACTACCTCAAATGTCCAGGTTTTCCAAGTGTTTTAGAAAACAGTGTTTTGTGGCAATTAGAAAACCAAGCAATGTGAAAGAATTGTTAGTAATCCTTTGCCAGAACTGACTTTTTCAAAACATTTTAACTCAATGCCAAAAATTCGGAATGGATTACTGAAAGTGAAATGAAATATATGACAGTTGAACACCCGTCCTTAGCTACATTCTATTTACTTCCTAAAATACACAAACCCCCTGCTGATAACCCCCCTGGGCGACCTATTATCTCTTTTTAATTAGCATGGATGTTGAGTCATTATATATGTAAACATTGACCACGAGGAGGGTTTACACGCCTTGAAACAGTTTATTTCTGATAGATGTACAAAATCTGCTTCACTGTCGCTGTCCTGTCGTTGTGTAAAGCCCGCCCCAAAGTTTCTGATTGGTGCCGCGATTTCGACGGATTAGAAATGGGCTCGAATGAGCTCTTTGCCAGACTAACTTGCAGAGCAAATCTAAATTTGCCAGAAGTTGTCTGGGTTTTCCCAGGCTAACTTTAT